AAACGCTCAAAAGAGCCCAGATGCATCAAATCGATAGATCGAACGCTCTCGCCGATCCATCCACACCTATCAGCTACCCACATCACAACGCCCCGCCCTTCCCGGGGAGGTGTTCGCGGAGATGTGATTTGAGATTCTTTTTTTTTTCGTATACATCACAAACCGGAGGAGCGGAAGACCAATAGAAGGCACACAACAAGCGATTCACGCAACCGTTTTCGTAGGGAACGAAAGAAAAGCAGCTGAGATCAGATCGCGGCCAACGGCTTATACGGGCCACCATCCTTTTTCCCATTTCAATCAAACACAAAACAAGGTTCTTGTTGATTGAATGGGGCTTGCAGAGGATGTCATGTACGAGGCTCGATTAGGTGTTGTTCATCACATCTGGAGCTGGAAATGAGGTTGGATGATGCGGATACGTGCTGCAATCGGGACCACCAGATGGTGGGGGAGGTGTGTGCGCGGTGTGCGCAGTGTGGGTTTTTGAGTGAGAATCGAAGAATCTAGGGCCTTGTTCTTCTATGAGAACATCCATGTTTGGGTGGGATAAGAGGGGATCATTGGTTCTGGGTCTATTATAACATATGTTGTCGTGTCCTAATTTGGTCATTGGTGATCTCGTCCCCGGTTTTTGTCATCCCTGTCGCGAGGAATTGAGGATTTGATCGGTGTTTACCCCTTGCTTGGTCTCTGGAGATGGTTTGATCGGGTTTGGGGCTCGAGGGTACATGGCTGTGATTATCTTTTTTCTTGCGTTTTCTCGCGTGTTTTGGGCTGGGGGAGGGGTGCTGTAAAGTATATTGGTTTCCCCATTGGGTTAGGTGTTTTCTTATAGGAAAGATGGTTGTTGGGATAGTTTTTTAGGCTTTGGGATGCTTGTTTTTGAAATGGTTGTTTTATGCTTAGGGTTCAGGTTTAGCTGTGAGGTTGTTCGAGACCGTTTGCCTTATTTGGACAAATGGTACTTTGGTATCTTAGTGTGGCTTAGGTTGAGTAGATGATAATATGTTTGGATATAATTATGCAAATATGCACATCGGATATCAGATATAGTATACATGTCGATATTGTACAGTCAAAGCACATCCAGCGCCGAGTCACTCCCGCTATGCCATGATATCAAAAAAAAAGAGTCCCAGACATTGCCTCGATATTCAAGAATCAAGGCGCAGAGCGGAGCACGTCGGAAACACCAGGGTCTTCTTCATCAATCTCCTTGGAAAACCCACTGCCCTTCCGCACATGCATCAGCAACCGCAAAGCACCAACAGGTGTAACACCCTCAATGCGCTTCGCCATGCCAACACTGACAGGCCGCACGCGCTGAAGGACCTGTCGCTCCTCATTACTGATCCCGTGGACCTGAGTGTAATCTAGATCCGCCGGTAGTAGCAAATTCTCATCCTGCTGGAACCGCTCAGCCATCTTCTCCTGTCGCTTCAGGTACGGCGCATAGCGGCCTTCAATGGCGACGCGGGTGAGGATCTCTGGTGAAAACAAGGAGGGGGTGTAGGCCGTCCCCGTTGGGGACTCGATGATAGGGATGAGAGTGTTGATGTCGGTGCCGTCCAGACACAAGATATCGAGCGCTGAACGGATCGAGGTATCGGAGCGCACCTTGAAGCCCTTGCGAGACCAAGCAGACGATGAGAGTTTCGTGTTGCCAAGGAGAGTCTGTAGTTCCTGGATCTGCGCTTCGGTCTCGGAGAAGTGGCTCCAACGCTTGTCGGAGACGACGCCAGCTTCGCGGGCCATGCGAGTCAGACGCAGGTCGGCGTTGTCCGAGCGGGTGGAGATGCGGTATTCGCTTCGTGTCGTGAACATGCGGTAGGGCTCTGAGACGCCCTTGGTGATGAGGTCGTCGATCATGATTCCGATGAAACCGTCCGACCGAGACAGGGTGAGGGGTGATCGATTCTGCGACTCGAGGCCGGCGTTTGTGCCTGCGATGATACCTTGTCCGGCTGCTTCTTCATAGCCTGTTGTGCCGTTGATTTGACCGGCGAGGTAAAGACCGCTGATCAGTTTTGTCTCTAGGGTTGGCCGCAAGTTGCGCGGGTCAATGTAGTCGTACTCAACGCCATAGCCGGGCTGGAGCATGGTTACATTCTCGAGACCGCGGATTACTCGCAACATAGCGTATTGGGTGTCCGCAGGCACGGTCATTGAGATACCGTTCGGGTAGATGACGTCGTTTGGTGCGAAGCCTTCTGGCTCGAGCCAGATTTGGTGCTGAGTCTTGTCCTTGAATCGGATGATCTTTGACTCTAGGGAGGGACAGTATCGTGGCCCGCGCACAGTCTCACGGATATGGATGGATTTGTCCAGATTGGCGCGGATGATTTCATGAGCAGCTTCGTTTGTATGGGTCATCCAGCAGGTGAGCTGGCCTTCATCGCCCACTTCGACCGTTTTGTTCAGATAGGAGAACGGGTGAGGCGGCGAGTCGCCCTTTTGCACTTCGAGCGTGCTAAAATCAATGGTCTTCCTATCCAACCGAGGTGGTGTACCCGTTTTCAAGCGTCCCAGTTGGAAGCCAGCTTCCCGGAGGGACTTGCTGAGACCGTATGTGGGGGCCTCGCCCATGCGTCCCGAAGGGAACACATCCATTCCAATATGAATCTCACCACCCAGGAAAGTGCCCGTAGTGATAACCACACGACCAGTAGGAATGACCTCCCCAGACTCCAATCGCACGCCAATAATCTTGCCCTGTGCACCGGGGGTGTTCTCGATGCCGTCCGTGGAGAGAACAATGTCAGCCACCTTGCCCTGCACAATGCTCAGGTTTTCCGTGTCAGTCAGCTCCTCGGACATATACCGCTTGTAGAGATCGCGATCGATCTGCGCACGCGGTCCCCAAACAGCCGGCCCTTTGGAACGGTTCAAGACTCGAAACATGACACCAGCCTTATCGATAATTCGACCCGCGACACCGTCCATTGCATCCACCTCACGAATCATCGTTCCCTTTCCAATGCCGCCGAAACTAGGATTGCACGAACAAACACCGATATTCTCTAGCGAGGGTGTGACTAGCGCAGTGCGCGCGCCGGAACGAGCAGCAGCAGCGCACGCCTCGGATCCAGCATGGCCGCCGCCAATAACTATAACGTCGTATGGTCTATAAACGAACCAATTAGCAAGACTCTTCGAAAGGACAACAGGGGAGAAATCGCGAACCGTGTATTATCCGTAACAGTCGCGAAACCACGACTCCGGCCCATAAATGAGCGGAGCCCGCGGCCCTGACGCATCAGTGCCACCGACCGTGCTCGAAAAGCCATGACGGAATGTAATGCAAATGTTAACCAAAAACAGTCAGGTACAAGGCTTGAAGATCAAATGAAATCGATAAGGAAATTTGTATCTTGTCACGTGATAGACTTATACGACTTATACCCGTTAACCCCGAGGGCGGTCACACAATGACATAAGCGCTTGCGCCATCGGCCAATTGCGGGGCTGCTGATGTTCAGGTGTAAGCTGATCTGGGCGTTTTTTTCTAAACTGACCCCTCTCTATATCTTCAAATCTACCAGCGAAACCAGCGAAACAATCCTACAAAATGAAGGCATACTGGTACGACAATGTTGAGGTAACTACACACCAATTGGTCGTACCCGGCTTTCCAAGAATTTCCAGGTACAGCCCACCTCGAACTAGATCAAACGCTGATGTCATTTGTTTACAGTGCGACCAGCGCGAGCCGCACGACTCTGGCCGCGCCGTGTCGGAAGAGAAGCTTGCCTCGCTAGGCGTTCTGTATAAGCACTGCCCCACGATTGCCGCGGTTGACAGCATCGCAGCGGAGCGTGGATACCGTAACCGCGACGAGGTCTGTGTCTCGCCTACGACTATGGGCGCTATCTACGAGGAGAAGGTTAAGTCGTTCTTCTCGGAGCATCTGCATGAGGATGAGGAGATTCGGTATATTCTCGATGGAGAGGGATACTTCGATGTGCGTGGACAAGAGGATGAGTGGATTCGTATCGATCTTGTTAAGGAGGATATGATTATTCTTCCTGCGGGAATTTATCATCGGTTCACTACCAATGAGCAAAACGTATGTTTTCTTTTTGGGATTTTTGTCCTCGTGGATTATGGGACTGACTTTGTTTACAGTACGTTAAGGCCATGCGTCTTTTCCAAGACGAACCTAAATGGACGCCGCTGAACCGTGGTGCAGAGGTTGATGTTAACCCTCACCGTAAGACTTATCTGGAGACTGTTGTCAGTCCTACTGCGACTGTTTAGGATGGATTTGATATAAAACCGAATCTATCTTACTAATGAGAGACTCTAATAACTACCTATAGTACTCTTCTCCTATCTAAACTCTAGAGGCTAAAATTATAAGGTAATATACTAGCTACCTAGGTAAGAAGTTGAGAGGCAAAGTTGCAAAACCAAGAAATTTAATGAACAACACTTAGACAGCATCATTTCCACTCGTCAAACAAGTGGGATCCAAAAACCTTGGAGCAACAGAGGGTGAAGTATGGGTCGACTTTTCAAGTAAAACTTCGTATGTAGCTATATCGGGTGAGTATATATATCACTCACTGCTATTACCGTTTCCTGTATTTTTAGAAAATATCGAATCAAAATCCATAAGTCCATAATAAAGCAATATTCATACACCACCAGCACCATGAACAATAACAGACTGAACATATATCGACAATGGGTATCTCAATCAGACATACACCTCGCACATTAGCATGCTTGAACAGTAGCAAAACACAAAATAAACACACAGCGAAAAGACTCGCCAAAGCAGAAGCAGAAGCGTAAACAACTTATACATACACCCACCCACCCTGACCCTGATCCAAAACACAACCCTAATCAGCACCACAAAAACAGGGATATCGAGACTCACCAAAGCAAAAGAATGATGGATATCTCAGATGATGCATCTGATCCAAACAAGACCAGATGAAAGACGGAGCACACAAAAACAAGGAAACAAAGCCAAAAAAATACATAACTCCCTACCTTCCATTCAACCTAGAAACCAAAGACCTCGAAAGTGGCAAGTTAACCAAATTCATAACCCTCGCATGTCCACAAGTCTCACGACCAGCACGCGCCCGTCCAGTCATAGACGAAGCACCACCACCAACCGAATCCCTTCTCGCACGCCGCAACATTTGATACTCCTCCTCCTCATCACCCCCATCCCCATCCGCAATCTCCGAAAGAGCACGGCCCCGCTGTATAGTATGCGGGTTCGTCGAATCTGTTAGGCTCGGTGAGAAGTTTGGGGAGGTATTATTTGATGCCCCGCTCGCTGCATGCCTGGGGAATTCCATCGCCTGTGTACGCCGGATGCTTGGTGTGCGGCGTGGGGGTTGGGGAGAGGGGGGGCCTGGGCTTGGTCGTGCCAGGTTTGTGAGGTGGATGGTCAGAGGGATGGTTATTGCGGCTGTTTGGGGGGTCATGGAAGCTGTTGTTGCTGGTGCTGGATGGGAGGAGTGGCCTTGCCCTTGCCCTTGGTTTTGATTTTGATTTTGATTTTGGGTCTGGGGGGTTACCTGCTGAGGGCGGGATTGGGTTTCTTCCCCCTCGGCTGGGTGATGCAGAGGTTTTGTAGGGTTGTCTGTAGGAGGTTGTTCTGCAGGGAGAGGCTGTTATTCTGGAGGGTTAGGTTGTGGGCTTGCTGTTGCTGTTGCTGTTGGTACGGGATTGGATTGAGAGGCCCGTACTGGCCTGGGTAGGTGCCCTGAAAGTGATTGTCGGGGATGCCGGTCTCTGTTGGTATTTGGATCTGAGAGGAGTATCTCTTAGTTTCACCTCACATCATATTGATTGGTCTCTTGATTGGTGGACATACCTGACGGCTGAACTTTCTTCCTGGCATCGCAATGTACTCATCGAACATGCTATCTAGTTCTGCAAAATTGAACCCGCGCACCGGGTCCACGGGCTCAAACCGCTGTCCAACTTCTTGTTGGAAATCGACACCCCGTCGCGGCAAAGGTTGGTACTCGGGCAGTTTCAGCATCAAGGATGGGTAACTGCCAATCATCGCGTCGATGACGGGGTCGACGTCGATCGACAGGGAAATTTTGCTATTTGCAGTGGGTTTCTGGATTAACATGACAAAGGTGAACTCGCGTGGCAGACCGGATCGCTGTACATTGTTCTCTTCCATGGACCAGACGATCTTGCCGGCTTCGACATCAAATTCACGGCCACCTGGGTTCTTCAAAGTACGCGCGGAGCCTTGGATGCGCATCATCTCGTACCGCTTGTATCGGCCGTTGAAGCTCCCCGAGGGGATGACGCTTGCGCTGACAGGAAGTTCTGAGATTCCGAGGGACCCAGCCAGACTGAATGTCCACTCCATGGTCTCGGGGGAAACAGTACCGTAGATAAGGTGCGGCGCATGCATAAGGAAGCGTGGGTCCCCAGGCCGATGTTTAGAGGGGTTCGACTTCGAACTTGAAAGATCACGGTTTCCATGAACTGATACACTAATAGTGGCAGACTTGATGCGGTGCGTGGTAGTGTGCGGCGAATGAAAGGTGAATGCAAGGGCAAGAAAGTCTACGTGTTCGGCATCCTCATCTGAGACGGCGTCGCTAGAGTAATAGCCATGCTGAAGGCGCTGGACATACGCAGTGATATAAGCATCGCCGGGCAGTCGCCTCTCATATACGAGAGCGCGGTTGATAGTTAAGCGTGGATTGGTCATGTTTGGATCCGGTGGTTCTTTTTCTTTGGCTGGTGGTGCACTGCAAATTGGAGTTAACGAGCGGGAGTCCGAGACACGCCCATTTTGAACAGAAGTAAACGGCATCGCGGCGACCGCAAAGTGACAAGACCGCGGTTTCGTTCTGGCAAGCTTGTCTCGCTCTCCGTCTGGTTCCAGTGTTCTAGACGCCGACGCGGGTAATTTGGCTTAACCTGCGTGGAATATTGTAGACTTTTAACTGGCTATAAGTTAGCATTTTTGGACAATGATGTTTTTCATCAGCTGGGCTCTAGGTCACAGGAGTCGTAGAGGCTATCAGGTGAGCATGGGCTTGATCATCATGAACACCGCGATACAACTCCTGGAAATGTGAACCTAGGGGTAACATGGTCATTTTATAGATCTGCAATTCAGCAGAGGCAGATATGCTGTCATACTAAATTCTATGTATGAAACTAGGGGAAGACAAGCAGGATAGCTTGTTGCATGTGGAGGATATAGAAACGGGCGGATAAACCATTTATCCGGCAAGAAACTCATCGCCGAGGTGCAATCTCCAATGTTCACCTAACCTCAGGCGACCGTGATCTAGAGCTTTTGGTTCTAGGTCATTGAATTCTGGTAGAGCTGATCTATACTTTGGATTCTCTAATATGTATGTCGCATTTAGCCAAATTGTCCCGAATTCCGACCTATCCAGCTAACAATCCCTAGATTGTGTTTGTACTATATAGCATTCTGTCTTTTTATTTGCATTGCTTGCATTATCAGCTAGTTCGTTTGTTGAATTTTGAGCTGGGAGTTTGAATTTGCAGGTTTACCAGAAACTGTGTGACACGACAGCCTCCGTTGGTCGGTCCCCTTGTTTATCACTTGGACCGAATCACCATTGCATAGCCCAAAAACGACCGGGTATGCACATTTGAAGCTCACAATTGAAAACTTGTGATTATCGGTGTCGCCGATCAATTTTTGGGTTTCTACCAACGCCTGCCATTGTCACCTTCGTGTTGGTGTCACCATGATTGGCTCATGCGCAGCTCAGTTGTCTCTTCGGACGAGCCGGCAGGGACCCCAAGTGTTGTTCAAGAACGCACGTCTTTCTGTTCGATCGAACGTGTTCAAGACTGAAACCCTTCAGAGAGATGGGTTCCGGTGTATATCTACATCAGTCCAGTCGACATTGAACCGATTACCAACCGGGTATGGTTGTCTGCCGCTTCTTCGTTTATGCAATTCTAACGGTTCACAGAGGATTGAAACCTCGCTGTCTGCAGACCACGCTGATTTCACCATCATTCTTTACTCAGCAAAGATGGTCCGGGTCAAAATCGCCAGACAGTAAAACCCCTGAACAGTAGGTCCACCGCCTTTAAGCCGACATACCCAATATCCAAATGGGACATAGGGCAAATGAACCCGCAACTAACCCAGCGTAGACCCAAGGAATCCAAGAAAACTCCTATTCTATCGCGGATTTCCCTACCAACTTCCCATGAGAATATCTACACCGTGCCCAACATTCTCACCTTCTCCCGGCTACTCGCCGCCCCCGTTGTCGGCTATCTCCTTGTCCACAACTACCACACTGCAGCACTATCCCTGTTTGCCTATGCAGGCATCACCGATCTCGTTGATGGTTACATCGCCCGACGGTATAACCTCCAAACAGTGGTTGGAACCATCATTGATCCCATGGCCGATAAGCTATTGATGACCATTGGTGTCGCGTGTCTGGCTGTGAATGGCTCCCTTCCTGGTAAGTCTGATCGTATCTATCACTTGGTGGTATATGGACATGGACATGGACATGCATTAACGTATTGAAAAGTCTGGCTCGCCGTGATCATCCTCGGTCGGGATGTCGGTCTGGCTATCTCGGCTATCTATTACCGTTGGATCTCGCTGCCTGAGCCTAAGACCATGGCCCGGTACTGGGATTTCTCGCTTCCCTCAGCGGAAGTCAAGCCCACTGAGATCTCCAAGATCAATACTGCTCTGCAGTTGGTATTGGTGGGTAGCGCGATTGCGCTGCCTGTGGTCCCGGAGGCGTTTGTCAGTGCTTGGCATTTGAGCGAGGCTATGACTGGATTCCAGTAAGTTTGATCTTTTCTTGTTTTATACCCCAATTTTCACCTCTCTTTTTTTTGTTTTATCTGGAAGACCTGTTTGCAAGGTCCGCCCTAAGGCACCTCAAGGGTGTTTCCAGTACATACGACCACAGGGTGTGGAAAACAGGGCTTCCCGTCCGCTCAGCCGTACTTAAGCCACACGCCGGTGAGTTAGTAGTTGGGTGGGTGACCACCAGCGAATCCTCACTGTTGTATGTTTTTGGTTTTTCTTTTTCTTCATCATGTTTCTATACTCTATTTCGATTGGTTGTTGGATTTTATTTCTTTGTTTCCAAGGTTCTTTTTTGCTGACCAATTTTAGGTACCTTGTCGCCGGTACCACTCTCTGGTCTGGACTCAGCTATGTCTTCTCCAACAATGCCGTGAAGATCCTCTCGAAAGAAGAAATCCAGAAGCGAATCGCTCAAGCAGGTGCTAAGCGTAAGTAGATCCAAAATCACTATCTACAACATAGGTAGACAGTGTTTGAAGCTTTAATTGTATATTATTCCCATGTTGGAATATTGGAATCTAAGATCCAAGGTTCTTGCTACATGAGTCAGACCGTATCTTCGTATCTTTCTACCGAGGATTACCGTAAGCATATGTGGCATCCGACATGCATGTGATTTCTATGGCTTTCGATGAATTTTGAAACGAACTACATACAGATCAATGCCCAAAAGTAGGTGTAGCCTGCATGACATGTGATATAGCATACATGGCAACGTGGAGGTATGTAGTTTGATAATAGGTTCAAATATTACCAGGGAACCCTGGACATGAGTTAGGTGTGAAGATTAGCATTGAGGAACATTGAAGTGATAAGATACTAACTAGATGCTGGCGAATTAAAAAAAAAAAAAAAGAATAACGCAGTGGAACTGTAATAGCCGGGTTCTCGGCAATGGGAACTTAGACCAGGTCCCGACATAGTTTAGACAGAGATTTGGATTACCAAGATCCCTCTAGTCGGGATACGCTTTAGGGGTACGCTCTGGGCCGCCGAGTGGAGCCCGTGAGATCTGAGGAATGTCCACCGAACTACTTAGTTATACGATAGAGTAGGGTATTAAGCCTTTGATGTTTTGTTAGAAGAAATAGTATTCATAAGCAAGATTGTTAATCCATTCTCATCTATTCTAGTATTTAATATTATAATATTATAATATTATAATATCAAAAAAGAGAGAAAAGAGAGAAAACGGAATATAAAGTCCGGCCCCACGTTGCTTGCATAAGCCAAAGTTGATAGCTGTGGATGACTGTGGATAGGGTCTATTACCGAGAACTGATAGGAATGGATATTCCGTTTGATGACACGTTCAATAGCCAATTAACATCCTCTATTTGACCCTAAAACCCGCTAAAATCCGGCAGAAGGACTTATCTCCGATTGCTTTGAAACAGAAAATTCTTTCTGACTTGATTCACCCTGAGTCATGTACTGTCTATGACTCCACTATAGCTCGGAAGTCTTCGATTTGAGCTCATTATCTCGCTTATGATTCGATAGTTCGAATAATTCCATAATTCCATAATTCCATCTGGGTTCTGGGTTCTTCCAAGGTTCCTAAATTTCCTTTTTAGCGGATGTCGGCGTTAGATGATTAATCTGTTAATCTGACATCTTTCAACATAAACGGTGGACATCCTTCTTTGCGCTTCTCCCTAATATTTCGTTTATACTTCCTCTTCTTCCTTTATAATCTTGTCATTCCCTTTTTCTTTTCTTTTCTTTAATTTCTATTTCATATCCCCATTCCTCTAATTAGCCTGGCTATATTATAATACATTTTGTATCGGCCATTGATTGTTGCTGGAGAGTAGAATCAATCAACGCTTCCCCCAAAATGGAGGGCCATTCCGAACAGTCGCATACCGTCTCGGACTCCCAGGCCCATGCCCAGTCCTCCAGGCAACCATCAAGCTCAACGGCCGAGACCTACCGCCATGATGTGGGCTCCGAACAACCCACCACGGAGCAAGTCCAATACACCACAGCTCCCATCCATTCAACTTTAACCGACAGCTCAACCGTCAGCTCATCTGCAAGTGATGGCGATGGCCACTGGGGAGAACAGGAGGCCGGGAAGGCCGTCTCCCGCAGCGGCGCCATGGAAGACATGGAAGAGATGCGCCGCGAACTCACCCGCCTCAGTCTGAAGCGCACCCGCTCTGTCACCAAGAGCGTTCGTCGCCGAAAGTCGCAGGCCCGCGACGAAGAAAAGGCTCAGGACGAAGAAGGGACCGAGGACGGGGCTGACGACAGCTTCAATCTGGGTGAGTTCCTGACCGGTGGTCATCTCGAGCGTCGCACAACCGCCGGCGAACCCGCCAAGAAGGTTGGCGTCGTTTTCAAGAACCTTACCGTGCAAGGTGTGGAGACTGGTGCATCTTTCGTGCGCACTCTCCCCCAGGCTGTCATGGGTACCTTCGGCCCGGATTTGTATAATATCGTCTGTGGTTTCGTGCCGCAGCTGCGGTTCGGCAAACACCCTCCTGTTCGCAATCTGATCCATGATTTCAGCGGTGCTGTGCGGGAAGGTGAGATGATGCTCGTGCTGGGCCGTCCCGGTGCTGGTTGTTCCACCTTCCTCAAGGCGATTGCGAATGATCGTGGTGCTTTTGCTGGTGTCAATGGTGAGGTCAGTTATGGTGGTCTCTCATCCGAGGACCAGAATAAGCACTTCCGTGGAGAAGTCAACTATAACCCGGAAGACGATCAGCATTTCCCCTCGCTCACTGTCTGGCAAACTCTCAAGTTCTCTTTGATCAACAAGACTCGCAAGCAGGACCGGGAAAGCATCCCCATTATCATCGATGCCTTGCTGAAGATGTTCGGCATCACTCACACCAGGAATACCCTTGTTGGTAACGAGTATGTCCGCGGTGTCTCCGGAGGTGAGCGCAAGCGTGTGAGTATCGCAGAGACCCTGGCCACCAAGTCCTCTGTGGTCTGCTGGGATAACTCCACTCGCGGTCTGGATGCCAGTACCGCACTGGACTACGCTAAGTCCCTCCGCATCATGACCGATGTCAGCAAGCGCACTACCTTCGTCACCCTGTACCAAGCCGGAGAGAGCATCTACGAGCTCATGGACAAGGTGATGGTCATCGATGAGGGCCGCATGCTCTACCAAGGTCCCGCCAACGAAGCACGACAATACTTCATCGACCTGGGCTTCCACTGCCCCGCGCAATCAACCACAGCCGACTTCCTTACCTCGCTCTGCGATCCCAACGCGCGTGAATTCCAGCCCGGCCGTGAAGCGTCGACCCCAAAGACCGCCGAGGCACTTGAAAATGCCTTCAAGAACAGTCACATCCATAGCCGTATCTCGGATGATGTCGCCAGGTACGAGAAACGTCTCCAAGACACCCAGCAGGAGGACACCCGTCGCTTCCAATCCACGGTCGCGCAGTCCAAGTCCAAGTCCGTCTCCAAGAAGTCGCCATACACCGTCTCGTTCGTGCGCCAGGTCATGGCCTGCGTGCAGCGCGAGTTCTGGCTGCTTTGGGGTGACAAAACCTCCCTCTGCACGAAGTACTTCATCGTCATCTCCAACGCCCTCATCGTTTCTTCCCTGTTCTACGGAGAATCCCTGGATACCAGCGGCGCTTTCTCGCGCGGCGGTGCTCTGTTCTTCTCGATTCTGTTCCTTGGCTGGATGCAACTGACCGAGCTGATGCCTGCTGTCACTGGACGTGGCATCGTCGCCCGTCACAAGGATTACGCCTTCTACCGTCCCTCCGCTGTCTCCATTGCCCGTATCATTGTCGATTTCCCTGCTATCTTGGGCATGGTCATCCCATTCACGATTATCGTCTATTTCATGAGTGGTCTCGATGTCACCGCTTCCAAGTTCTTTATCTACTTCCTGTTCGTGTATACGACTACCATCTGTATCACCTCGCTCTACCGCATGTTCGCTGCGCTGTCCCCGTCTATTGATGACGCGGTGCGTTTCAGTGGTATTGCGCTGAACCTGCTTATTTTGTATGTCGGTTATGTCATTCCCAAGCAGACTCTTATCAAGGACTCTATCTGGTTCGGATGGCTGTTCTATGTCAACCCGATCGCGTACAGTTACGAAGCGGTCTTGACAAGCGAGTTCTCCAATCGTGTCATGGAATGCAGTCCATCACAGCTTGTCCCACAGGGTCCCGGCGTGGACCCCAGGTACCAGGGATGTGCTTTGACTGGATCGTCATTGGGCGAAACCTCTGTTACCGGAGCTCAGTACTTGACTGCCAACTTTGAGTTCACCCGCAGCCACCTGTGGCGTAACTTCGGTGTTGTCATTGCCTTCACCGTGCTGTACATCTTGGTGACTCTGTTGGCTGCTGAGACTCTTTCGTTTGTTGGTGGTGGAGGTGGTGCTCTGGTTTTCAAAAAGTCCAACCGAACTAAGAAGGTCGGTTCCCAGACCACCAACGATGAAGAAAAGGTCGCCAACGCAAACGACAACGCCGCTCTGGCCCGTGGCCAGGCCGCTTCCAATGATGATGTCTCTTTCAACCGCCTGTCCTCAAGTGAGCGCTGCTTCACCTGGCAGAATGTTGAATACACTGTCCCCTACGGAAATGGAACACGCAAGCTCCTCAACGGTGTCAACGGCTACGCCAAGCCCGGCGTTATGATCGCCCTGATGGGTGCCTCCGGTGCTGGAAAGACGACTCTACTCAACACTCTGGCTCAGCGCCAGAAGATGGGTGTCGTGACTGGTGATATGCTCGTCGATGGCCACAAGCTGGGTACTGATTTCCAGCGTGGCACGGGTTTCTGTGAACAGATGGATCTGCACGATAATACCGCCACCATCCGCGAAGCTTTCGAGTTTTCCGCCATCCTCCGACAGCCCCGTGATGTCTCACGCCAGGAGAAGATCGAGTACGTGGACCGCATCATCAACCTGCTCGAACTCGAGGATATCCAAGATGCCATCATCGGCTCTCTCAACGTCGAGCAGAAGAAGCGTGTCACCATTGGTGTTGAACTCGCAGCCAAGCCCAGTCTACTTCTGTTCCTGGACGAGCCCACCTCCGGTCTCGACAGTCAAGCCGCGTTCTCCATCGTCCGTTTCCTCAAGAAACTCTCCCAAGCCGGTCAAGCCATCGTCTGCACAATCCACCAGCCCTCGTCCATGATCATCCAGCAATTCGACATGATCCTCGCCCTCAACCCGGGCGGCAACACTTTCTACTTCGGCTCCGTCGGCAAAGAAGGTGCCGACGTAATCAAGTACTTCGGCGACCGCGGCTTCGTCTGCCCACCCTCAAAGAACGTCGCCGAATTCATCCTGGAAACAGCCGCCAAAGCCACGCACCGGAACGGAAAACTCGTCGACTGGAACGAAGAATGGCGCAACTCAGAGCAGAACCGCGAAATGCTCACTGAAATCGAAAACATCCGCTCAGAGCGCAGCAAACTTCCCATCGAGGAATCGGCCTCGACTCACTACGAATTCGCCGCCGCAACCACAACCCAAACCCTCCAACTCACAAAGCGTCTTTTCAAAAACTACTGGCGTGACCCGTCCTACTACTACGGTAAACTCTTCGTCTCAGTCATCATCGGAATCTTCAACGGCTTCACCTTCTACATGTTATCAAACTCAGTAGCCTCAATGCAAGACCGAATGTTCTCCGTCTTCCTAATCATCCTCATCCCACCCATCGTCCTCAACTCCATCGTCCCCAAATTCTACATCAACCGCGCCATCTGGGAAGCACGAGAATACCCATCCCGAATCTACGGCTGGGTCGCCTTCTGCACCGCAAACATCGTCTGCGAGATCCCCGCCGCCATCATCTCCGGTCTAATCTACTGGTTGCTATGGTACTACCCCGTCGGATTCCCGACCGACTCCTCGAACGCAGGATACGTTTTCCTCATGACTATGCTCTTCTTCCTGTTCCAGGCTTCGTGGGGCCAATGGATCTGCGCCTTTGCGCCTTCCTTCACCGTCATCTCAAACGTCCTCCCCTTCTTCTTCGTCATGGTCAATCTCTTCAACGGTATCGTCCGTCCATACGCTGATTACCCCGTCTTCTGGAAATACTGGATGTACTACGTCAACCCTGTCACCTGGTGGTTGCGTGGCGTGCTCTCGGCCGTTCTGCCTGCTGTCCAGATTGATTGCTCCTCGCTTGAAGCTACCCATTTCGACCCTCCCCCCGGACAAACTTGTGATGCTTATGCTGGTAACTTTGTCGATTCCATCGCTAAGGTCGGGTACCTGGTTAACCCCCAGGCTACCGCGGATTGTCAGTACTGTCCCTACCGGGATGGTGAGCAGTATATGGCGAACTTGAATGTCCATGTTGAGGATAAGTGGCGTTGCTTTGGAATCTTCCTTGCCTTTGTTATCATTAACTGGGCTTTGGTTTACTTCTTTATTTACACTGTTCGTGTGAGAGGTTGGAGCTTTGGTATTGCTTCGCTGTTTGGTTTGGGTGGACTGATGATTGATCGTGTCAAGGGACTGTTCCAGGGGAAGAAGAGTGATACAGTCTAGGGCTTCAAAAATTTGGTGATGTGTTTTTTTTTTTCTTTTGGATTTTGGTTTTTACATTTCAACATGCATTTACATAGAGCGCGATATTGGATATACCGGAGAAAGTGATGCATATATGCACACACACATTTAGATATTATTATTCAATTCATATTATATAGTTTTAGTCAAATCACATTGCTTTAAGACATGAACTTTTTTTTCTTTTTTATTTCTCTGTTTTCTTGTTTGAAGGTCACAGCTTAATCGCTAGACAATACATGAGGTGTTTGTTTTCCTCCCTTCCATTCATTCCGTTCCCCATTGAACCAGGCAACCCGATCCAAACTCATATCCCAGATATCCATGACAAGGATAGTGAAAATCTAGACTCTCACTGGATGTTGCAGATGTAGACGTAGATTCGACTCAGAAGTAGAGTGAACGAAGGCTCAAGACTTTCAATTCAGGTCAAGTTTCAAGATTTGAACATCGTTCAATTTAAACCCCAAAGAAGAAAGGCCTCCGGTCCTCCGACAACGGAACAGCGGGCACTCTCATCGGGACAGGAACAGTATCCTTGAAGATATTGACGGGGAGAGGAGCCGAAGGGGCAGTTCCATGTGTCTCTGGTCCCTTTTCTTTCTCCTGCGTCTTCTTATCGCCGATGATAGGCACGATAACGCCGCATTCCCAGTTACGGCAGTTCATTTTCAGCTGCTTCGTTTTGGGATCCTTGACGATACGACCCCTAGATCATGTTAGAGTTTCGTGATTTCATCCACAGGAGTGTAGACATGTACTCACCATGCACTTTCCGACAAATTCGCACTCCCCACATAAGCCCAACCCCGGCACTCTTTGTTATCGGACATCTCAATCGGAGTGGATGGATGAACGAAGGCAAGCTTGGCACCAGAAGAAATGTGTATTAGTAACAAATCATTATAACCAGCCGCGGAAATACTCACCTTGTTATGCATCAAGACTCCACGCTCACTGACACAATCTCGAAGTATGTCACGAGGGAAATTGGCACTGGACCACCAGGCTGGATTGAAGCAGATCGTGCCGATGGCGCTTCTGGCATTACTGTGGACGTCACACGCGGTCTCATCTGAGGGGAAGTAAACGCGGAAGTGGTCGAGACATTCTTGGTTATGGGCTTCCACTTCTGTGCGGGGTTCTTTTTTCTTGTTTGCGGTTCGGAGCTCGTAATCTAGTAGAGCGTTGTCACCTATGGGTTGTAGTTAGTAGATTAGTTGGTTCTTGGGGGTTTGGAAGATGATGGCGTACCTTTGCAAGCGAGGTAGATCGAGCGCAGGAATGGAGTGTTGAGATTTCCCAGCGATGAGGCCTGGGTTTGTTGTTAGTATACCCAGTGCTGTATTATGTGGGAAGATATAGCAGAAGAAAAAACTCACGACGTAGTCGACATTGATGGGTGCGTTTGTCTCTAGGCCGAGGGTTTTGATAGCACGACCCAAGCCGCTGAATCCAGTGCGTTGCCATGTGTCGTCGGTGTTGGTTCCGCCACTGATATTGTTAGCTGATACTCAGTTTTTGAGCAGGAAATGGGCCAGGGGGCAATACATACACTGTATGAACAAACGCGTAGCGCTTTGTCTCGCTGAAGTCAAACTCATCTAGCTTCTTGATGATGTTGCGGTGGAGATCGGATGCCTGGAGGAAGTAGACTAGTTCTTCGTAGAATGGGGTCTTTCCAGGAGCAGGAACTTCGAGTTTGGGAAGATCAATCAGGAATACAGTCTGCACGCCGTTAGAAAATTCAATAACATCAGGTAGGCGTAGTCACATACGTTTTCCATAAGTCTATCCTCCCCCCAGTCAGTGGGAGTGAGATTCGCAGAAGGAACTGCGATACGAAGATATCCAGGGTGGAACATCAAAAGCAGCTTGGAATGCATACAAAACACTTGCGGCTCCATGGGTGGGAAACACAAGCGAAAATTGGGCATGCTGCTAATGTCCCGACGATATTGCTCTCGCTGTAAACGAAGTCAAGTTAGTCCGTGTTATTCAAGGTTATAGTGCATGCATTGCTAACCGTTTCGTCGTCATTTGCTTGCATAACAAATAAGATGCGTGTCGAGTTGTTGAACTTGGAATAAAGCCATGGCATATCCCACAGGAAGGAGCTAAATACACCCAACTCCAAGTCGTCTCGCTGGATAACTTCTTCAATGGTGATCTCATTTCCATTGCGAGGGAAACCGGTGATGTGTGTCTTTTTGACAGCCCCAAGAGGCCATTGGGCCACGGAGCGGGAGGTTGGTTGGATGTTAATGTTTGGGGCATTTGATGCCAGCTGGTGGCAGACCTCGGTGCGAGATTTCACTCGAGCCATATTCGCTTGCGGGGCTGATTGGAACGGATTTCGTAGAGCGGCAGGATGACGTGCTGGAATAGGCTCAGTCCTTGGGAGCTTCCGGCTGACTTGAGATGGCGGAGTAGACGCAGTATCGTCCGCCTTGCGCTTGGCGAGACGTGCAAGACGCTCCTCTTCCATTTGCTTCCGGTTCATGCCCAAAAGTGAACCAGCCGATGTCATGGAATCCTCACGGGATGCAGTTAAATGTTTGAGAGTCCGCGCATTGTCTGGGGTTTGTTTCTCATTAGGCTCTATCGACATAGCAAGAGCACGTTGTAGCTGCTCATGCTCGTGATCATCTTCAGACTCGGAATTAACCACGGACTTTGACTTGGGGAATACCTCTTCAATGTCCGAGTCGTTTCCCGATTCATTGGTCAGATCCACAAAGTTATCCTGGGATGCCTGTCTGTTCTGTTGACGATACATATCTTGGCGAGAGGCCTCAACGGCAGCGGCTAACTCAGGATCCACTAGTGGCTCCATCGTGCAGAACTCCACAAAGATCGAATGCAGATTTTCTTTCGGAGAATAAGAGGTAGATGGAGACAAAGGGGGTAAAAAAGATGTGGATGTGAGGAACGTTTGATGTGTGGAGTATGAGACCCAAGGAATATTTTCAAAGGCAAGACCTCCGGGTACGCGTGGGCTATAACCTCAATAGACTCGCAGTAACCAGTCATCGGGTATTCAAAAGGTTTAGAGAATCATGATTGTCCCAAACCCCAAGCTGACTCTGTTCATGGTCTACTTACAGGTGCCGTCTTATATGTTGTATGCAACCCCTGTTCTGTTTATGTCAATATGCATCACGTGACTGGCCATACCGCAATATCAAGAGTATAACTCCGGTCCCTTTTCATCTGATCATCTTCATTGTACAAAGGCTCTAGTCCCTTTTCATCTGATGGGTTTCATTGTATAAAAGCTTCGGTCCTATTTTATCTGATGATTTTCTTTGTAATAAAAGTTTTAGTCCCATCTCATCTGATGATTTCATTGTACTAAATGTTTTAGTCCCATGTTTAATCACTTCGTGGCATCTAGTTCGAGCTGATACCTTGTACACCTTGTACAATGGGTGAAGATCCAAAGTACCTTGTGGATCTAATATAGTGACTAGGCCTATCTTTTCTGGTAGTTAAGAAGATAGACAAGACCGAACTATACCATACATGATCTACCCATTTACTGCATAGGAAAAAGAAAACACAATTCAATATTCAACGTGTTACCGCTCGTTCACTCCTGACAGATAGTCTTGAGCGATTCCTATATTCCTATCCACAAAACACTGTAGGCCTCCATTGCCCACCGACGCTCAAAGCAACACCGATATAGACCTAATTCCGAGCAAGTACGAGTAATTGATCACTGGGAATTCTTCAAATGACAGTAGTCGTAGCGTCTATAAACATCAAAGCCAAAGGTGTAGGCAGATATGTTGTCGCGGCGACGCCGAGCCGACACCTGCTTATGTCGGCGACAGCAACATCCACAAAGCCAGCCCATCGCGATCCTTAACCCCCCACCTCACGGTCTTCCATCCATATCACCTCTTCATCACGCATGTGCATCAACCACAATGAAGAAGTTCAAAAAAGCCCTTCATCGCATCCAAGCGAATGCTTCGGCAAAACGCGAGCGCCTCCGAGGAAAGTCTGCAGCCAAGCGTGAGCTTAACAAAGTGACCACTTCCGAAGTCCAGGCTTCCGAGGTCTTGTATGAATCTGCCCAAACCGAGAATGCAAGCTTGGAAGTCCAGGCTTCCGAGGTCTTGTATGAATCTGCCCAAACCGAGAATGTAGGCTTGGAAGTCCCCGGTCCAGCGGATTCTGCTATCCCGAATGAGCCCGACCAAGTCGTGGATCTAGTCCCGACATCCAAGGTGTCGTACATGTAGTAAGTTGATTCAAACTCATCGGTCGCAATGCCACCAACAAGTCCATTTCATCTGACAATGTTCCAGTTCCGATACCGCTCTCTTCTACAGCAGCTTTGTCGAGGGAAATTTCGTGGAAAGGCTCTGGTTGCAGTTTGGCACATGGGAATCGTTTGAGAATAGGTTCGTTGCAAATTTGAGAAGCTACCACCCGGATTATATGCCCGCGAACAGACGAAGCCCGTGTCCACTGGATTGGCTGCCGCTGGAGATCCGCGCGAAGATCTGGAAGTACGTTTTTGATGACTGCAACGAGGCAATCATTATCGGGAACGATAAAATTACTCCCAAGATACCGAGTTCCCTGAGATTTTTATCGTTCGACTGGATGCTAGAGATGTCGATTGCGTACATCAATGCGCTGAGCAATCGGACTCTGGTGGTGATGGATTTTCCCAGGCACGGCTACCTCACCCTCACCTGCCCAATCTTCCGAGAGCTCAGCTTGAACCGAATTCGAGCGATAAAATTCACGCTGGGCGACAATGAAATCGAGAAGGCAAGGAAGCGCACTTCTGATTTTATCAAGTTCATGTTAAATCACAAAAATTATGGATTCATGGCCGTCCGCACGGTGATTGTCGAGTTAAGAAGGAACTGGGAGAATGAGTTCTTCACCGAGAGCGATCTCGCCTATGTGTTGGTTTCTGGCGCATTCGTTGCAGTGGAAAGAGTTCGAATCCATGGACATATCACAGATGAGAAACTGAACCGTGTTCTGGAGCAAACCCGAAAGCTAGCGCAAACCCAAAAGCTAGCGCAAACCCAAAAGCTAGCGCAAACCTCGTACATTGCACAAGACTCGCAGGTTGCGGAAGACTGGCAGTTTGCGGAAGGCTCGCAGTTTGCAGAATACTGGCGGGTTGCGGAAGGCTTGCCGGTTGCAGAAGCCTCGTTCTGATGGCTGCCCCTTGTTCCGATGGCTGCCTTGTTCTCAGTCGAAGATCGGGCTATGATGGTTTCATAGGCATTGCAGAACCAGATCCACGATAGCAAAAAATGAATCTCTATCAGCAGTTGATTTTCCAAGTCCAAGGCCAACGAGGAGTAATCTCTTTTCACTAGGTGTTTTTGTTGCAATAGCCGTGGCTATCTGACGAGCAAGTAGTTGACCCGTTGTATCTTGTCCAGGCGAATAACCGCCTAGTAAGGTAGTGGTGGTTAAGCTTTTGAGGGGCAAAAGAGCATCATCGCCCTCAGCGAGGGTGTGCATGCCCTCAGTGCCTGGGTTCTGGTTCTCCATCGGTACATGTAACTATATACTATTAGCAATGTTGGATGATGCCAAATTGAAGATATAAATACCCAATGTGCCAATCGTCCCGCTTGTGAAATTGTGACCATGATTTTATCGCTAAAGCTCATTATCACCAGATCTGTTCGTACGCCATTGACTAACCCCGCAATCTGCTTAGTGGTAGCAGGAAATGGCAGGTTGAGGGAATCCTGCAGAGAGCTTGTATCAAAAGATTCAACCATGGTGATTTATAGTATTTATCTTTGTTAGAATACTTCAGTGAAGAGGAAGAGAACAAAATGCAGGGTTAACTAGGTGTATCGGAGGTCGTTATCCGTTGTCCGTTTGTAGGCGGTAGCTATTTACACCGCCTCGAGCCAAGTGGGCAATATCCCGACCGCCCTAATTTTTTTTTTGATGAAGAAACAGTTAGATCGCAGAGCTTGCAGAGCTTGCATCCTCAGTCAATTGTCTTATTTTCTCAGCCAGGCTGGCTGCAGTAATCCAATATGCCACCTAAATTTACACCACGTCTAAGAAAACAAAGACACCGGCAAAACCCTGACGGGGAGTCGGCTGATACCAATGTCGCACAGCTCCAGCCCGTCTCCAAGGACGAGAAAGAGGAACGGCGAAAGAAGCTGAAGGGAGAGCTAACAGAGCAGCATCCCCATATGTCCTCAAAGAAGCAGAAGCGTTTGGACAAATACATTGTATGTGGATAACCGCAATAGAAAGATATGGCTCTAACATCCCCACAGGAAAATAAACTCAAGAAGGAAGAAAACATCGAATTGTTGAAGAAGCTAGCGCAGTCATCTGTCGACACTTCATCTTTACAGAGTTCCCGAGATCTTTCTAAGCGCAAGCGACAGGATGACGACGTATCTGCACCGGCCGTTTCCGCGCCGAAACACAATGCTCCCGCGGACATCTCAGGATATGATACCGACGATTCGGACATTCACCTGAAAGTCTCCGATCCCACAACAGATCCCAACGAACAAAGGTTACGAGACGAAGCAGCTGCTGGAAGTGGACTTAAGCGACCATTAGAGCTAGGAGCTGATGGATTCCCTGTTCTAAAGAAGCGGAAGCGCGCACCGAAGAAGAAACCCGCAGCTGCACCAGTAAAAGCGGAGGTTGCATGGGAGGGCTTTGATTCGGGCGAGGAGGATGAAGATGAAGATGAAGACGATATGAGCGAAGGGTCCGAAAGTGATATTGAAGAGGGCTCTGAAGAGGAAGATACCTCGTCCTCCGAGGACATTTCGAGAGATGAGGATGAGGACTCTGAAGACTCTGAAGATTCAGAAGATTCAGAAGATTCAGAAGATGACGACGAAATGGACGAAGATAAGCCAACGCTCACGACTCGCCAATCGGCCTTCAAATCTTGGGCGGTACAACAGATCAACGAAGCCGCAGGCTTCCAACCCACTGAGGGAGCCGTGACCGAGGAAGAGCAGGTGTTCGACCCGTCTAAGTTGCCAGCAACCCACAATACCACCCAAGAAGAACCTCTCCCGCGGGAACTTCAGGTAACTCATGGCGATCCCAATCGTAAGGCCTACAGTGTTGCGGTTGACCGTACGGAGGAAATCCAAACTGCCCGTCTTGGACTCCCTGTCGTCGGCGAAGAACAGAAAATCATGGAGGCAATTCACAACAACTCAGTTGTCGTCATCTGGGGTGCTACTGGTAGTGGAAAGACAACCCAGCTTCCCCAGTTCCTCTTCGAATCCGGCTTCGGTTCTCCAGGCAGCCCTAACCCGGGTCTAATTGGTGTCACCCAGCCTCGCCGAGTCGCGGCTGTGAGTATGGCGAACCGTGTGTCTCAGGAGTTGGGTCAACATGCCGAGAAGGTTTCGTATCAAATCCGATTCGAGTCTACGGCATCGAAGAAGACAGCCATCAAGTTCATGACTGATGGTATCCTTCTACGAGAGATTGCAGATGACTTTGCCCTTCGCAAATACTCTATCATTCTTATTGACGAGGCTCACGAGCGCAGCGTCAACACTGATATCCTGATTGGAATGGTCAGTCGTATTGTGGGCCTGCGCAAGTCTTTAAGCGAGGAGGACCCGTCTGTCAAGCCTTTGAAGGTCGTCATCATGTCGGCTACTCTCCGTATTTCGGATTTCACTGAGAACCCAAGTCTTTTCCGCAATGGTGCACCCCCCTTGGTCCAAGCGGAGGGTCGCCAGTATCCCGTTGCAGTTCATTTCTCTCGCCGTACTCAGCGTGACTACGTTGAAGATGCGTTCCGCAAAGTTTCGCGCGGACACCGCAAACTACCTGCCGGTGGAATGCTTGTGTTCATGACTGGTCAGAACGAGATCCGGCAGCTTTCTAAGCGTCTGAAGCAGGCATTCAAACCTACTCAGCGGGAAGACACAACACAAGCAAAGGTGCAGCTGTCAGCTACCGAGGCTCCTTTGGAGGCAGAGGACCTTGAGTTAGGTGGCACCGAGATGGAAAACCCAGGACATGATGATTACGACAGTGATATGGAGATCACTGGACTAGATGATGCAGAGGAAGACGAAGGCTTCGAACTCGCTGAAGGCGAAGAGGCCATGGACTCGTCAACTCGCGTTCACGTCTTGCCTCTATACTCCCAACTTCCCACGAAAGAACAGATGAAGGTGTTTGAGGCGGCCCCAGAGAACTCCCGAGTGATCATCCTCGCAACCAACGTCGCTGAAACATCTCTTACCATCCCCGGTATCAAGTATGTCTTCGACTGCGGTCGCGCTAAGGAGAAGCAATTCGATCTCTTCACTGGAGTCCAAAGCTTCCAAGTCGGCTGGATCAGCAAAGCGAGCGCAAACCAGCGAGCTGGTCGAGCTGGTCGAACGGGACCTGGCCACTGTTACCGAATGTACTCCTCTGCAGTCTACGAAGGCGAGTTCGCCGAATACACCGACCCAGAGATCCTCCGCACGCCCATCGAAGGCGTCGTCCTCCAGATGAAGAGCATGGGTCTTCATAACGTGATCAACTTCCCATTCCCCACACCCCCAAGCCGCCAAGGTCTCGCAAAGGCAGAGAAACTCCTCAAGAATCTCGGCGCCCTCACAGCCGAAGGCCAGGTAACCCCCATCGGCCGTCGTCTATCAACATACCCCCTCTCCCCCGATTCAGCAAAATGCTCCACATCGGCCACCAACACGGCTGCATGCCGTACGTGATCGCCCTAGTGGCAGCCCTAGCCGTCGGCGACCTCTTCGTCCCAGAGAACCAACTCGACCCAAACCAACCCCTACCAACCACAGCCAAGAAGCAAGTCGACGACGACAGCGACAGCGACAGCGACAGACGAAAGGTCTACACAAACGCAGACCGTCTCGAAGACGACGAGCGCGAACAACGTAACAAAGCCTACGCGCGCGCCCAACGCCTCTTCAGCAAACACGACGACACCTCCGACGCTCTAAAATCCCTCTCTGCAATCTGCGCGTATGGCTACGCCTCCGACGGCGACGCCTTCAGTGAAAAAATGTTCCTCCGCGCAAAGGCCTTCAAAGAAGCAACCCAGCTCCGTCGCCAGCTGACCGACATCGTGCGCTCAAATAACCCAGGCCTAGTCCCCGCCTACGAAGCCCGTCTGCCAGAGCCCTCATCAAAGCAAATAAAGGCCCTGAAGCAGATCGTCACGGCAGGATTTATCGATCATGTCGCTATCCGTGCTGATCAGGCCCCTGTTCCACCGGAGAACCCGCGCGCTCCCCGTCGCGCCATTGACGTTCCTTACCTGACGCTCTTCCGTTCTCGGGATGGGAAGGGTGAGGATCTGCAGGAACGAGCTGTTTATGTGCATCCGTCTTCGTTGCTTGCTAAGCTCTCGCCGAAGGAAATGCCGAAGTATGTCACTTACTCGCATCTGCAACAATCTTCTGCTTCGCTGGTCTCGGACCAGGTTCCTAAGATTAGGATGTTCCCGCTTGTTGCGCCTAGTGGGTTGCAGCTCTCGGCGATTGCGCATGACACGCCGCTTATTGAGTACGGAAAGCCGATTGGAAAGGCTGATGCTATTGAGGGTGTGCCACCGCGCAGATCTTGCTGGGTTATTCCTTCTTTGGTGGGTGATGGGGGTAGTGTGGGCTGGCCGATGCCTGCTAAGAAGGTTGTGCAGAAGAAGGATCCTAAGGAGGGTTGGGTCATTGAAAAGTTTGTGGCATAGTATACTGGTTTTGGTGTATTATAGATGAGGTTATGATATCCAATTGTTCATTTCTTTGCATTCGAAAAAAAGATTGTACAGCCATAACATGGACAACAGTGAAATGAAATGAAAAACTTGTTCATGCAACCCTATGTCCATAATAATCCCACAAACCCATAACACCGATCAACACCATTACTCAAGAAGAAAGACAACCAGAGAAAAAAAAGAACGAGAAAGAAACAAGTCAAAGTCAAAACATAATCTAATCCCTCCTCTTCTCACGATAATCCCTCGAACTAGAAATCTCCCCAGTCTCCCGATCCTCCCTCAACCCAAAAGCCTTCCGCAACCTCTCCGTCTCCTCAATCTTCGCCTCAGCAAGCTCATGAACCTGGTAAGACTTAAGATTGCGTCTATCCCTCCCAGCCCCAGCCCCAGATCCAGACCCAGGGAAAGGCTTCTTGAAACCAGACTCTCCACGCTTCAAATCCTCCTCCAGCTCCGCCAGCAAACGCTGTCGAAGAGCATCACACTTCTCATCAATCTCCTCTTCACTAAGAAGCTTCTCTCCCTCATCGGCCTCGCCATCTTCCTCTTTCTTGGCTCCACTCTTCGCCTTCTTCTTCTTATCGTCTGCCTCGTCTTCAATCCGCTCGTTCTCTTCTTCCAGTCGCTCCCGCTCTTCCATCACCTTCACCTCGATCGCGCGCTTGCGGTCGTGCTCGAGAATCTGCTTATCCGGCATCCGCTGTTTGAATGGTCGGTCCATTGGTCCGCTGCCGTTTGCACCGCTGATCGGTGGGTAGGGGGCGCCGTAGCCTGTGTTGCGGGGCTTGAGGACCGCAGAGTTGCGCTGCACGTAGCCTGATGTGCCGCTGCCGCGCGGGGTTGTGAGGCCGACGTTGGAGGACATTTCTGTGGTTGTTGGTTGGTTGGTTTGCGTGGGGTTGAAAGTGTGGTTTTATTCAGGGGTTCTCAGGTGGAGAACTTTATGTGATTGTTGTGTCGGTGGTTATTGGAGAATTGTAGTTTGTGGTTTTGCGGGATGGAGAGAGCTCGGAGCTAGTCTGGATGCCGACTCTGGATGCAGGTTCTTTCGAGCTCGGATTAAGAGTTCAGAGATAACGGGTGGATTGCTCGATGCCGTGGGGTTCATCTGTTGACACGCAGAGAGACAATGCTGATCACAGTGTCAAGGAAGAAGTGGAAGTGCAGACTGGTTCGCTCCAACTCTATCAAAATGCGCCGCCTTATCGGCTATCACGGGACTAGCATCACGTGTGATATATGATTCTATATGGGTCACGTGATGCGACTACTTGAACGTTTTGAAATGTCTTTGTAGAAGATTAACCATCCAAGTGGTCACTATGCACTACTGGGCTTTATCTTAGGCTCTAGAACTGGATACACCGAAGATACTACGGTATTTGAACGAAATGGTACAAATCTACATCATTCTTAGCAAAATTAAAGTCAAGTCATAATGCATTGATAATACAGCCAGTAGCAAGAGGAAGAGAAGAATAAGGAAACCACGACATTATCAACACGGCATGACAACCCGGAAACAGGCAAGCACGAAGTCCGAAATCGCCGGCAACTATAACAAGGTCCCGAACGAGTAGAATCATCGGACATGCTGACCGAGAAGCACAGAAGCAAGAACACCTTTGATAAGAACACCTTGATGCAAAAGGAAAGCCGTGGAGCTCGGGATCAGGAATCATAGCCTTAACTCGAAATATGTTGACTTGGCCAGAGAAGGAAAAGAAATCTGTAAAAGAAATAAAAAGTGGTAGGTGGTTCTGGGTAGATCACGCGGATGCCATGGGCACAAGGTAACTGCTGTGCAAAGTGGTTGAATTGATTCTTTTCCTCGTATTTTCTGTTGGATCCGAATGTGAATGTGGAAGGTCCGGGACTCCATGCTATGGCATATGCGCTCGGAAAATCATGAAGAGCGAAAAGATGAAATCCGTTCCCCCCTTTCCGAGCCGATTGCCGATATTTTTCCCCCATCACAACCGCCCTTAACCCCGTGACAAAATGAAAAGAAATGGAAAGAAGTGAAAGAACAAAGACGCCGGAACCGTATCGATTCTCGGACCTGGATCTCGTAGCGAGAAGCATTGACAATGATTCACAAACACAATCGTGAGAATAAATGAACATGTCAAGAAAGAAACAAAAACAAATAAGGTAAGATAAGAAATAAGTCGGCAGTCCGAGATCGAGATCGAGATCAACACAAGAAAAGAAATAGTAAAAATAAAGACATTCCAGGCCCTCATTGTTGCGCCGTCAAAGCCATGATCAAGTAGGGGAGAATCACATAGACGTTGGTAACATATATCCCGCCTGATTCCCCTGTATGTATACGCCCGGTATTAGATAGAGAACAAGAAGTCACTCGGCTCAGATCAAATCAGGATTAGAAAGATTATGTTGGGCGAGCAAGATAAAGTGTGCAACGAATTAGTGAGCACTAGTGACGTCGACCGGGACGGTAACACCGGTGTTGCCTGTCTCGGGACTCGAAACCGAGGTCACAGTGCTCTTAGCGAGGCCTTTCGACTCGAGGGTGGGATCGACGGTGGTCTGGGCATCCGTCGGGGGAGGAGTGGGTGGTGCGTTACCCATGAAAGGGGCCCGGGGCTGTTCACTGGGGATTGAGCGCTTGGCGGGCTGCGGAGAGGATTTGTGTGAGTGAGGGGGAGTGGTCGAGGTGGCATGAGAGAGAGCGCCAGTCGCAGGAGAGTTGGGGTCAAAGATGAGCTTCTCGATAGCGACAATCTGCTTGCCATAGCTGAACTTCTTCAGCTGGCTGAGAAGGGGCTTGATCTGGTCGATGAGGGCTTCACGCTCGGCATCTTTCAATTGGCCCAGCACTTTCTCTGCTGGGGGTTAGTATAGTACACAACGAGTGATGCGGGTTGAACTTACGAATCACATAGTTGCCATACTGGTCACGCATGAGACCAAGGAGAGGGCTCTCGCCGCGGTCGTTGGTGGAGGTTAGGGTGCTGATGATGTGGATACGCTCATGTTCTGCGCCGAACTCAATGCTCTTCTCAACCACGTTGCTAGCAAACTTGTGCTTGGAGTAAGCAAGGAGCTGCCCCATAACAATGTCGATCATGCGAGTTCGGTCCTTCTCGTCACCGTTCTCAATAACATGTTGGATGACATAGTTGCCGAACTGGTCAGGAATCAGATTGGAAGTGCAGGCATGGAGCTCAGCCAGAATCGACTGGCGATCGACCTCTTCGCAGTGCTCAAGCATTCTCTGAATGACACGGCAGCCGTAAGGATGGGCGGCTAGTCTGTTGACCTGGCCGCGGAAAGCATTGATGATGAACTGCACATATTGCGAAGGAACACGCTCGATGGCCTTCTGGATGACGTGGTTACCATTCTGATCACGAACACACTTGAGGACGTGGTTCTCCAGCTCCTTGACCATCGCAGCTTGCTGGTCAGTCAGGATGTGCTCGAGGGCCTTCTGGACCACTCGACATCCATACATCTGGGTCGACAGAGCCAAGACATGGCCGCGCATCTGGTTGGCAAGAATCTTCTTCTGGGTCTGGTTGCCATGCTCGAACAATTTCTGAACGACGTAGTTGCCGAAGACATCAGTCATCAACTGAAGACAGTTGGGCTGGATCTCTCGGAACACCTGTTCCTTCTCGTCGCTGTTGGCGGTCTCAAGTTTCTGTTGAATGAAGCGAGAACCGTGCTGGTCCCCACTGAACTCAACTACATGGTTGTAGATGTCCTTCAGCTCGTAGCGCTTGTTTCCCTTGCTGTTGGCCCTGAACTCTTCTAGGAGGGGGCTGCGGACAACCTGGGTAGGATCGTGCTCGCGCTGGGTGCGCGAGACCAGAGCAGCGGCACCCAGCCCACCAAGATGGCCCACTGGGTAAAATCCGGAGAGAGCATTCAAACGAGAAGCTTGGTAAGCTTGGAAATCGTAAGAGGGCGGGTACTGCATCCGCCAGGAACCTTGGGCAAGCTCCTGCTCCTGGAAGTTGCGGAGCCTGCGCTCAAAGGCTGCCACTTGGCTTTCATTTGCGCCTGTGTTGCGGTACTGAGCGGCGGCTCCGTCAACACCGGGGTAAATGGGGCTATCCATGCGGGCATAGTCTGAAGGCGAGATGGAGCCGGTGTTCGCAGCTCTGGATCGTGTCTGGTAAGCAAGATGCATCTCCTGTGCAGCCTCTGCGGTGTATCCAAGGGCCTGGTAAGTGTCATCATTGTTCTGGTACTTTCCGCGTTGGAAGGTGCCATCGAAAGATGCATGGGGCACGAACGAGGGTCGCTGAGCCGCTTGGGAGCCGTAGTTGCCTTCGTTGAGCTGTAGCTTGTTAAATCCGGCATTGAGGTCCACCGAGCCACCGCTGTAGCGGCCATCGATGCTGTGATTGTCGGAGTACAAAGAAGGATGAGCGGAGTGAGCGGGGCGCTGGGTAGTGTAAGAAGCTGAGTTGTGAGAGGCGTGCGATAGTCCACTGCGACCCTGGGGCGGAGACATATGCTCGGCAATTCCAGACCCCAATGAGGTCATGCCCATCGTGGCACCCATGCCATCTCCGCTTGCACCATCAAGAGGGTTCGCGAAGCCAGGCTTGACAGGGAAGTTCGCTCCCACAGGGCTGCCACCGAGACCAGTGGTGTTCATCTGACGTCGACCAGCAAAGCCACCGAAGGTGAGACCTTCTCCGGACGGGGACACCCCCTCCGACGCAGCGTTAAGGTAAGGCCGGTGGCTTGCGGTAGCAGCAGAGGTGTTGATGCCAGTGGTGCGGGGGAGAGCGAAGTAAGAGTTATCACTAGTTTCATTGAGAGCAGGAGCACTGCGGTCATTTGCCCGAGTCTGGGTGGGGGATGTGCCGAGGCCTCTGTTCTGGAAGGAGGGGTTGGTGTTGACAGTGCTCCATGGCAGGTTGGCACGTCCCGACCAGCCGTCTGACTCCGAAGTAGAGAGCAGCGAACCCGAACCCGACTTTCCTTCGAATGCAGTCTCGCTGAGGTGTTGCTCTACAAACTGCATCAGCATAACCCTAGTCGTAATGGATGTGCGACAACTTACCATCACCGAATCCTCCTAGGTTGGAATCGCCCCAGATGTTGTTCTTCCAGCTAGCCTTACTAGCACCGAAACCCTTGCCGACACTGTTGCCTTGTGAGCCGCGGTTGCGGTCGTTCATCCCGGATGAACTCATGTTGGAAGCCCGGTTGGATCGTGCCTTGGATTCGTTGTTATTATCATCATTCCATTGATCGACATCCATGGTGCCACTCACGTTGTGTACGCTGGTTGTATTTGCGGCCATCGTAGAAGCCATCCCAGGAAATTTCCGATCGGCGAAACAGTAATTCGATATGTACTCGAACGGCGACGATTATTTGTAGGTGGTTCGGAGTGTTGTCTCGTGGTAATAAATCACAGAGCTGAGACGATCGGCCGATGCTGTGTCGACTAGTATTTGCAAACGGGCACCAGGCACCAGAGACGGCGTACACGAAGGAATATAAGACTGCGATGAGAAGAGGCCCTTGTTAGCAGGGTTTGGGCCATCTTGGGAAACGTTGCATCGGAATGGCAGATCTGGAGAAAGGTACAAGGGCCCTAGGGTACTCAAGTGTATGAAAGGGAAGGCTCACCAAAGGAGGGGATAGAAGGGATCACAAGAAAGAGCGAAAGGGAAGAAAACTAGTGTTTGTCTTCTGTATTGCTCAACGGCGAACCCAGGACATGTACAGATTATACAGGAGCGAAAGAGGAAGGGAGACGGAAGGGAGGAAGAGCGATGAGCTCTGAATGAGGCGAGAAATGCTGAGGGTGGCAGGAAGGTCGATCGAGCCTGACAGTGCTAGAAGATGCAAGGTGACAAAGAATTGGAACGATTATTATCACCCTTTCGTTTGCTGCAGCTGTGGGGTTGCAAGTTTGGTAGCCGAAGTGTTCAGAATTGAGGAGGCGCCGCAACGTTACTCTGCTCCGTGCATGCTCCAAGAATCTCCCAGTTTGCAGATCGTCCTCATGTGCCTTATAGAGAGGCGATCCCCGAGAATGGTAATCAGAACGTTGGGGGACCCTAGATTGATTGGCGTAGGCAAGGGGTTTTGGATGTCTGAGGGGGAAGATTTTCGAGTAGCGAACTAAGAGAGGATAATGGAATGCGCTCGCGCAAGAAGGATGAGAATCCGGGATTCAGTGGATCGATGGAAGGGAATGTGGACGAGAGACAAGGCACGGCATTAATGTAGTCCAGCTGTCACACAGGCGCCAGCATGACAGCCCAAGGGTTTTATTTTTTTTTGTGTGTGGCTGTTTCTTGGGGAGTGGGTTGATGGTGAGGCGGTGATGGAAGGAGAAAAAGGAAAGGTCAAAAAAAAGAGGAGACGGTTGAAATAATAAGGAAGACAATTAAAAAAAAAAAAAAAGAGTCACACGAAAAAAAAGAAGAAGGGGAAAAGAAAAGAAAAAAAAGAACAGAACAGAGAGTCAATTGGATAGATAACAAGAAGAAAGATGATTTCTCTGGCAGATCAGCCGCTGTATTGCCGCGTAATACCATAACCATGTGAACAGGTCGATCCTAGTTAGGAGATGGTGGTACTTCAATTTAGGTTAGAGTTTAGTAGTAAATCCAAGTATCTTTTCAGCCATTTGTTTATGGCGCACGTATCTGATCGTCACCGCGATCTAACTCCCGGCGCTTCTTTTTTAGCCTGGCCCCATCTCTTTGTCTTGTTTTTACATCGTGATATTGTATATATTATGATATAGTTATATGATATATATGATATATATGATCTATTATGTATACTAGTATATCATTATGTATCCATATTTCTATTGAACTGGATTTCTATTACATATTGTATTGCAATTCTATTCCTCCATAACACTCAGTTCTCTACACTGCCATATTAGGTAACTAGTCGCATCATCTCCCATGGTCCAGCTTAATACATCAACAAATTGTCCCTGGAACAGTACCGAATGGTCCATGGACTAAGGGTGAACGAGCAAACATGAAATCACCATTGGAGAGATTTAACACATCGGTTAAAAGTTCCTATCCACTCCATTATAGAGCTGCCTGGCAGCTGTGTTGACCGTGGAACCCTTTGTTGTATATAGACAAAATATACTCCCGAATGGAGCCGGTGCCCAACAAAAAGAAGAAGCTTTCTCACTAAAAAGAATCAGGAAAGAGCAATTCATCTGGGCAGCTTCAAAGTTGATGTTCCTCTAAATGAAGGTAATGAAGCTTTCCTATAATGCTCGGCAACCGCTTATCTTGATTATTGAAGGTTTTCTGGAGGTCCGATCGGGCCCACTAAGCCCCTCCCACTTTAGTCTTAACCACAAAGTAAGGTACACTCTATATACACCTATACCCTATATTGTATATCGGGATATTATCATACTTAGATCTCAATTTGATATTCTTTAAACGTCTCATATAACATCCGGTTGAACCCGGAAACATTCTTGACAGAAAAAGCCAAGGACCGCCTTTCTAACTGTGGATTACCTGCCGATTACCTGCCATTCCAGGATTGGCAAGGCGTCTCTCGTTGGCTTACTTTCTCCGCCTAGTCAGGAACTCAATGGGAGTGGGGGATTTGTTTCGTCCTTCTTCTGTTTGGACTGTTTTTTTTTCTTTTCCTTTTCCTTTTTTTTTTTTTTTTCATTTATGTTCTGTCTGTTTTTCAATCGTGTGGCCGTGCGCTGGTATTGGTATTGGGTTCCAATCCCTTGATTCTTAACTCTCAATAGATCAATGATCACGGCAAACCCCAACTGCGAGCTATGCAATAGTCTCGCGCGCGACCATCGATAGAAGTACGCTTCGGGCCTTGAGGGGTCCCAGATCCAGAAGAATTATCTGCGAAAAAAATGGTTCTCGGCTGAGTAGACTTCTGTAGACTCGGCCAGCCCCTTGCTTCGGCGCATCGTCACACTGACCCTTGGATGAATCTGTGGGTAAAGTGTGATATGCAGCCTGTTAAACGATGAGACCCAAATGCTCATTGTCCGGGTCAGAAACCCATAGAAAACAAACCTAGGGGAGAGAGAAAGGAAAGCAAAAAAAAAAAAAGCGGTCATCATCGAGCATGTGCTGGTGAACATTTGCCGTCAACGTTGGAGTGTCCAGTCATCGCGGTGTAATCCCATCCGGCGAGATTGGAAAAAGGCCGAGACATTGACTGGAAAAGGGAGAGTCTGACAAGGATACTCACCTTTGGATCCTTACACAGGGGTTGCACAGGTCAAGTGTCAGGTCATCACTCGCAGAAACCTTCCCCGGATCTGATCGCTGAGAGGCATTGCCTGCCTTGCGTCCAACTCCTCTAGGCTTAGACACACTTAATGGTCCCGAGCGCAGTTCCTGCTGGCTTGCGGAGAGACTATAAGGCTTTGGCCATGTTACCAGATTCCGGGTATGGGTTTGCTTTTCCTCTGATGATCGTCCTTTCCCGGGTTTGTGAGGTGTCGAATGTGTGTTGGCGGCCCCTGACCGCATTATAAAAGGTGCAGAGTCCATCCACTACGACCTACGCCAGGGTAGCGTAGGACATGTCAGTCGGTACAATGGACAAATTTTGATACCGACGTAGTGTTTAGTTGTGTTGTTGATCTCGAGTGTCAGGTCTTGGCGGTGTCAACCGAAGGCCGAGATGGGATTTGTTGTAGAGCATCAAAATCCCTACTAAAGCATCGACATGAGACGTCCAGCTTTTTGATTAATAAGCTATTTCTGTCATCTGGAGCAAGTGACTTCCGCGGTTAGCTTCAACTGATATCCCCAAGCCCGGTATGTACTTCCATTGATGCCTCATGTGTCAGTACGCTAGTCAGAGGCCCACGCATAAGAACTTAAAGTACAGATCAGATTATATTTTGCAAATCAACATACAATATACAATATTTGTTGGGGTACAAAATCTCGAGCACAGAAGCCGCGGGCAGTTGCCCCAAGATCATCCATAGCACATATATATAATGAAGAAATAGCTCTCCTGGCACCATCCTACCAGTCACTTATGCAGAAAGAAGACGAAAGACCACACCATGTACTTGGGTGTGGCTGAGCACTTTATTTGTGGCACTGGGACCGCGTGCCCTTGTACTGGTTGTCCCCGGTGTGGCGGCAAAATTCATGCAAGAAGGATACATGCAGTTCCGGCGATTGATACATCCGACATGTGGCAAACGATAACTAGCTACATTAATCTTGCAATTAGTTATATGAGTAATTCCTCTGGCTTTTGTTGTTGGTTATAGCCATGGGCGACTTCTTTGGATATGGCTTGTTCAGCTGCGAGATATATATTCAGCATGTGATCACTTTTTACATATGGCCCCCTTGGCAGACATCCGAGTTTGACACATTACTTTATTTGGAAAAAGTCCAATAGGAATGAACTTAGATATTAATTATAGTAGTAATTTCAGGTTTGAAGCAATCCAAACAAAAGATGTACAACATATCAAGTCATGGTCGATCTTGAGTGCCCCAGTGTTATATATTTCAACAATCAAGTCAACTTCACTCACTCATAAACTCATATGATACAATAACTCAACTGTTTCAAAGTCAAGAAATTGTTTTGTTCCTTACATCTTTTGTTTATTCCCAACAAACATGGTTGTTGTTTACTTGTACTAGCAGTTGTGTTTGGCTGACGCGTACTAGGGCTTTGTTTATATGTCTTGAAGATCAGGTGCATGAGATCTAATCTCCCTCTATGGATTTTTGAAACACTCATTTCCTCCAGTTTTGCACGAGTATCGGCCTTGAGAGAGCACAAATCGTGCCACTATGTACCCCAATTAGGCTTCATTGATTTGTACTGTCAACCCAAATTCGAGTGATTCATGCTTATGTGACCAGACTAAGCGCCGGCCATGATTGCTTTATCTTTACAAGACATGGATTTAAGATCATGATGTAAATATATAACTATACTACCCCGGATGTACAACATACTACTTCATAAGATTTACGCGAGTTATGAGCGTGGGCCTCAGGGGAACCAAAATAAACAGGGCATAGTTCGGTGGAGCCGCCTAACGAATGAGAGGGCGTAAATTACCCCCAGAGGGCCCGTTCTCCAGGCACTGAAAGGTTGTGATTGGTTGACTCCTGTGGCCAAGAGGCCCCGAGCAACGCCTTAGGAACAGGGCTAATCTACAAACAGCTTAGCTCTACACTAACAATAGCAAAGCCGTTCTAGGCTTACAACCCTTCTCCTCTTCTCCCCTTCCTCCCTTTTCTGTTTTCCCTTCATTCTCACCCATCCCCTCCATTCTTTTCCTTTACAGGTGCCAGCTTCACTCTTTCAGCGGCTCACCTTGTCCATTCTTTCTTTAACTTACTCACTCTCGTTTTCGATTCTTCGCTTTTTTTTCCCGCCACGATCCCGTGACCGATAAATTGCACGCACATTCCATCGCGCTTCACTGTTTACTTCCCCGGATTGATTCCGTGACCTTCCTTGGAATCCGAACTCGACGATCACATACATATCTGTCGATTTCCGTTCACCAACTTCTCTAACTCGGTATCGAAAGACCAACCGTCGACAACCGACAATCAACAACCAACAAGATGAATAACCTATTCCCCCGCATCGTGGCTCGCGATGACAGCGACAGCGGACTCTCCAACGCCATGATCGACCTACTCATCGCCCTCCTTGTTCTCGTCCTGCTCTCCCTTGCTCTGGTCGGTGGTCTGCTCGTCCTCCGCCGCAAGCGTCAGTCTCGGAACCAAAACTTGCTCCCAGTCCACAATGGAGAGTCCCCCAACAGACGCCGCCTAACCATTTCCACGAATAAAGCCGACTCCGTGCTTGTCTATGACGAGAAACGCAGCCTCATGGAGAACTCCGACAGCCCTCCACCTAGCCCTGTGCCCGAGATCCGCATTACCTTCCCAGAGGAAGAAGACGCCAGTGGCAAGCGTACCTCTGGCCGCATGGTCGTTGTCCGGATCAGTGACGCGGGTAGCATCGGCTTGGAGCCCTGCCACGAGGAGCTCCCGCCCTACCAAAGCACTGACACCGGTCGCTTCCAGTCCCTTGACATTGAGCGGATGGGTGGATTGAAGGAGAAAGAGGAGACGAAGACATACCATTAAAGGCGTGTTATCAAACCAACTCCCCCAATTGAACCGACCGCGTATATCGCCCGCATAGCGCTCAATTTACCTTGAACCTTCGACGACTTCTCAAAACATGACGAGTACCCTGGCGACCATCCTTTTTTTCGATTCTATCTCTTACATACCCTTCCTTCCCCGATTTGGCCTACGTGGCTTGCACATACCCTTCAGTTTCCGTCTTGGTCTCACCAAGGCACATTGTCGGAATATCCGGTTTCTGGACAGACTCATGGGTACCCTACATTGCTTGGATTCCAAGATTCATCGAAGCTGAATCGTTCATAGCGAGGGCCTGCCGATTTTTTCCCCTCTATTTGCTTTCTGGCGTTTTATTTCTTAAGTTTGGTGCCTCATGTCTCTTTCGTCCCTGCTACGTTCCTAGGGTCCGATATACATGTGACAGTATTCCTGCTTTTGACTTTCTCTTCTTCTTCCCCCTTTATGGGGTCCTATTTTTATGCTTTAGGGACCCCTCTATTTTACTTCCTTTCTCATGTGCCTTTTTTTACCCGGTACTCGGCAGCTGGATAATGTATGTACTTAGTCCTCCTATGTTTCGCCGTATTCAGGCAAATCTGAAATCTATCCTTTTCCCGGAAGTCTTTTTATCTTTTTCTATATGTATATAACCATTGTAGTGGGTGTACTATGTATGTACTTGATTTTCACTAGTTACCACTTCTTGACTTTCCCCTTTTTGTTTTAGTGCTCCGGCGTTGCCGCATCCGCCTTTCGCTCACTAAACCCCTGATGATCCAAGGTTTATGGATCTGCTTAGCATAGCCAGCCCAAAGAGACCACATGCCTGAAAAGGACCATGTCGTTGCCCACTCTTCCTCTTGAGATGATACTGCTGGAGATACCATGCTACAGTTCGAATCAAGATATTGTTCCTCTCCCTCAAAGCAGGACTAAGTGCTAAACATGCTCATGCAGAAAACTGAAGCTAATACGATACGATACGCAAGGAGGGAGAAGAAACCCCCCCCCGGATTATGATTTCTAGCAAGGTTCTAAATTAGAGACTCTATAGAGACTGGAAAACCCGTGGTAACGACTATAAAGAGGATTATGTGATTTGTAAATAGGAAGTGTTCTCATATTAGGGCTTCTCAGCTCGCCATGTCTGGCAAGGCTTGGCTTTCCTGATCCGTTTAGTGCTCTCCTTCTCGGCGCTTTCCCCTTGGAACCTTCGACTCTTGGAAGGTTCAAGATTGCCCACTTAGGCAGGTGCCCTGGAGGTGCTCATGTATTATATAAGCACCCAGGTACCCACCGATTGCCAAATTGAGGGATGTCCAGGTGAATCATCCCAGTAAAGCCAAACCTACTAACATATCCAAGGTTGGTATAAGGCAACATTCGAGTCAACTGAATCCTTAATTCATTATTCGCCATGATCGCCATCGGAATGGAAGGTTCCGCCAACAAGGTGGCATCATCCTACACCCCACAGATGGTAGCACACCCCAGGTCCTCGCGAATGTTCGACACACCTACAATGCCCCACCTGGTGAGGGCTTCCTACCTAAGGATACGGTACGTCATCACCGGGCATAGGTTGTCAAGATGGTGAAGGCAGCTCTTCAAGAGGCATCCTTGTCACCGCAAGATGTGGACTGTATCTGCTTCACTAAAGGCCCTGGGATGGGTGCCCCGCTGCAGAGCATAGCTATTGCCGCACGGATGATGAGTCTGCTTTGGGACAAGCCATTGATTGCAGTGAATCACTGTGTTGGACGTACGTCTTTAATCCCTCGAAGAATCATCGAGTATCTTACTGGAATATTTGTGATGTCGTTGAATGTGCGAAGTGGCTTATATACTTTGGCGATTTTCTAGATATCGTAATGGGCCGCCCGATTACCGGCGCTGAGAATCCCGTCGTCTTATATGTCTCCCATATGTAGTCAAGGGAATGGACTGTTCATTCTCTGGAACCCTAGGTACGATTGATGCGCTAGCTGTGTCTCTTGGGTTGAATAAAGCAGAGCAAACCGATCAGAATCCTGGTGATCAACCTACTTGGGCTGATCTCTACTTCTCTCTACAGGAGACGGTGTACGCGATCCTGGTTGAGATCACCGAGCGTGCAATGGCGCATATCGGCTCTAAGTAGGTGCTTATTGTCGGCGGCGTGGGGTCTAATGAGCGACTACAGGAGATAATGGGGATCATGGCGCGGGATCGGGGCGGCTCTGTTTTTGCGACAGATGAGCGATATTACATCGATAACGGAATCATGATTGCCCAGGCGGGGATGATAACGTATAAAACGGGCTTCCGCACCCCACTGAAGGAATCTACCTACACCCAACGATTCCGGACAGACGAGGTATTTGTGGGTTGGCGAGACTAAAGAGACCGAGGTAGTGCTTCGCGTCCGAAACAAAGCGTAAGGCCAAGAGCTTAGAGATGAACAAAAAGCAACGATAGCCCCTATTTTTCTCAAATGCTGCGACTTTTATCATATTATCATGAGACTTTCAATTCAATAACCTGCGTATAAGCCCGGGCATTGATGAGGAAAACCCGTAAGGATTTTATAGCCCTGGAGGAACTTCTGCGGCGTATCCGCAGCCGGCCAATGAGAAACGCCGATGCCGAGTTCCCTAACCCGTGTGTTCCGCGACTGTCACGAATTATTATCTTTTCTCAAATAGCTTCCCCCTCCCCTTAATTGGGCTTTGTACACATCCCTTCTTCGAATGATGTGCATGTTATAGTTTCTTGATACATAGGGAAGCCGTTCGACAGAGCGCAGAAAGGGGTACAAGACCTCCGCAATCTCCTCCGCCCCGCCTATACTTTTTCTCCGACTTCGATGGATCTTGCTTGAACCGGTTAAATCGGCTCAGTTGTGCTTGCCCTCGGCTTCCCTGCACCTGAAAAACACACTATCGTTCGCGGTCCCTTTGGTGTCCCTTCGGCCTCCAGTACCCAGACCCGCGACCTGGCGCACCAGCTACCTCCGACCTCGACCTGAGACCGTACGATAGACCTTGGAAATGGTAGTCACACCACCTGCAGGGACTATGGGGACTAGTCCAAACCCTAACGGCCCTAAAAGCGGTCTTTCAGCTGCCACCCCTCGCAGCTCCGATCAATCCGCTAGTGCCCAGTCCAAACGGAAGCAAGCTGGTTTGTTGGATAAGAAAGCGCTGGAGCTGGAGGATGAGTTCAGGACCAAGCATTTTGGTGTGATGGGTGTTTTGGCGTGGATATTGTGAGTGGTTCCTTTTCAAGTCTAGCAGAGCTCAAGGTTTAAGGCTCGCTGTCAGCTTGAGGCGTCGAAAGGTCAATTTGAACTGACGCTGGATAAATGACAGACTCTTGCATGTAGCCGGTATTTATCTGTTCACAAAAGGATTTCTCCTGACGCGAATGGTTCTCGAGAACAAATCATCATGCGACGTACTACCTTTCGAAGACATTTTGACCCAACCACACACTGCAGCTCTGGGGAGTAAACAGCAGAAAGGCTGCTGGCACGAGAAAACCTTTGACAAGGCTGTTGTCATAATAATCGATGCCCTTCGCTATGACTTCACTGTGCCATTCGCCTCGAAGGGAGAGAGTGATACAGTCCACCTCTTCCACAACAACATCCCGATCCTCTACGAGACCGCAGTTGAAAACCCCACCAACGCCTTCCTCCTACCATTCATCGCGGATCCCCCGACAACCACTCTGAACCGTCTGAAGGGCCTGACTACCGGAACCCTGCCCACCTTCCTGGAAGCAGGCTCCAACTTCGCCGGAACCGCCATCGATGAGGACAATCTTGTCGCACAGTTGCATAGCGCCGGGAAGAACCTGGTTCACCTCGGCGATGATACCTGGCAATCGCTGTTCCCGGGTTACTTTGATACCAATCTCACGCATGCGTATGACTCGTTCAACGTCTGGGACTTGCACACCGTCGACAATGGCGTCAATGACCATCTCTTCCCGCTCCTCCGCCCGGAGAACAGCGAGAAATGGGATGTTATCTTTGGCCATTATCTCGGCGTAGATCATGCAGGTCATAGATATGGTCCTAACCATGCTGCCATGGCATCCAAACTTCAGGAAATGGACCGTGTCATTCGGGATATCATTGCTGCGCTAGATGATGAGACTCTTCTGGTCGTCATGGGAGATCACGGTATGGACATTAAGGGCGACCACGGTGGCGAGTCTGATGATGAGGTTGAGGCCGCGTTGTGGATGTACTCTAAGCGTGGCATCTTCGGGCGCACAAGCAAGGATACGCTTCTCCCGCCTCAATTCGCGCGGGACAGATTCGTTCCTCAGATCGACCTCGTTCCGACGCTGTCTTTGCTCCTTGGAATGCCTATCCCATTCAACAACCTGGGCTCGCCCATTGAAGAGGTTTTCTCTGGCCCACGTGGGAACAACTGGGCAAACCTGGCGACTGTCAACCGGTTGACTGCAGCCCAGGTCAAGAGATATCAGCACCAATATGCGCTTGCTAGAGGTGCTGGTGATGATGAAGAGTCAGCTTTGTTTTGGACTGCTGCAGAAGAGGAGTGGAAGTCTGCTTCCAAGGGCTTCTCGTCCAAGTCGACCGCTGCTCGCGCTAGCAATGAACTCTACCGCAAGTACCAGCGTCACACTCTTGATATCTGCCGTGGATTGTGGGCTCGATTCGATGTCCCAAGCATGATCCAAGGTGTTGTGATTCTCTTTACTAGTATTGTATTGTTGATCATCTATGCCCGAGGCTTGAAGACAGACCGAACACAACTCACGTCTCGTCTGCTGGAATTCGCAAGCGTGGGTGCTAGCGTGGGTGCCGTGGCCGGTTCTGTATTGGGATTGACTGGCTTGACCGAGACTTCTATAGTCGATGGAGCCGTGCTACTGACTGCTGCTGGAAGCATCCTTGGTGCCACGCCGGCTCTTATCAAGAAGCCTGCGAGCCTGAACCTTCCTCTTCCGAACGGCATGTGGGGATGGCTTGCGCTTTTCTTTACCGTTTCTCAGTCTATTGGATTTGCTTCGAACTCATACACTATCTGGGAAGATGAAATTCTTCTGTTCTTCCTCACTACATTCGGCGTGTGCGCGGGTATCTCGTCCATGCGACAGAAGCAGACCACGGACCGGGTACTGGGTGTGTACCACTCCGTTCTCTTTGTGATCCTAGGCCGAATCGCATCTTTCTCCCGCCTCTGCCGTGAAGAACAGATGCCCTTCTGCCGCTCCACATACTATGCTTCATCGACTTCTTCCACCTCCGCCCCCTGGCAACTTGCCATTCCTTTCCTGGTCACCCTCTTCCTGCCTAGTGTTGTACGATCCTTCTACGCCGGCTCCAAGTCCTACGAAGGCGCCGCATCACTATGGATCGGCTCTGCTTTCCGCTTCGGTCTCTTCGTCACCTCCCTATTCTGGATCCTCGAAGGCGCCGACGACGGCGAGTGGCTACCTGTAAGCAAGGAATCACTCAAGTTCATCCGGGTCTTCCTAGCCCAGTTCGTCCTCGCTCTCGCGTTCGCAGCAGGCACAGCAGCATACTTATACTGCAAGCCCTGCGTCAGCATCAACGTGAGCAAACCCACCGAAGATCCTAACAGCCCACCGGCCCCTATAGTCGCTGGCCAGCAACAAGGCCCACGAACAACAGTCACAATCCTCGGCTTCGGCAACGTCTACGGAACCCACTTCTGCTTCATACTCATCAATTTCGCCCTCGCCATCATCCTCATGCAGAAGCCCATGGGCCAAGGCGCCATCGCCCTCCTTCTCTGGCAAATCCTCTCTCTCCTCGAAATCCTCGACACCAACAACCTAACATTGTCAAACTCCTCCATCGGCCCCGTCATCCTCGGTGTACTGGGTTCTTTCTACTTCTTCAAAACAGGCCACCAGGCCACCCTCTCCAGCATCCAGTGGGAAACAGCCTTCATCCCCCTCACCTCAATCCAATACCCCTGGTCCCCACTACTCGTGATCCTCAATACCTTCGGCGCACAGATCCTCGCCGCCATCGCCGTCCCCCTCACCGTCCTCTGGAAACGTCCCCTCCAGACCCACGACCGTGTTCCAGCTTCAAACCCAAACAAGAACCCAGCCACACGCATCCTCTCCGATGTCGTACAGGCCGCTGGAACACATATCCTCTACTTGGCGACTATTAATCTCGCCACGACCATGTGGGCCGGCCATCTCCGTCGCCATCTCATGCTATACCGTATCTTCAGCCCTCGCTTCATGATGGGCTCCGTGGTGTTGGCTGTTGTCGATGTTGTCTTGATGGTCGTTGCTGTTGGTGGTGTGCGCTGGAGTACTCTCAGTGTTGGTGAGATATTTGGTTGGTGATGATGGTGTTTTGGAACGGAATTATGGGCTGGTGAATACATATAAGTTCCAATCTCAATTGGACTCGGAAATTGTACGCTTGGATATGTGCAATTTTTCCGCCGGATCTCTCTTTCCATCTGTTAAGCATTATAACCTTCTTTTCCTACGGCTACGGCTACGGGCTTGTACACAACAAAACTCTTGCATCTTTGCCTTTCTTTGCATTGCCTGGCTCTTGCACTCGCACATGTACTCTACATCACATTTCTCTGTTTTCTTTTTCCTATTTCCTTTTGGTTCGACTATCTGTGGTGGCATCCCAGGCAATTGATATTGTAAAAAGTGTCGTTCGACCCTTCCTAGCCATCTAAGTATCCAAAATCAGGGATTTAGGCTTTAGCCGTTCTAGTGTCATGTCATGCACTATATATATATCGGAGCCTGGACAATCTGAGCGTAATGCTCAGATATAATGGTCTTTTGGCCTAGTGTGTAACTCGCCAGTCCAGGGGCAGGGCCCCAGGATATGTATGCTCGTGGGCTTCCGGGTATTCGCCCGGACATTTTTCTTCTTTGTAGAGAACACCCCGGAAGAAATGGGACCAGACACATCCCAAGTTGGCTCAAATGGGACATACATAAGAAAAGGAAAAAGAAAAAGAAAAACACTTGCGATAAGTTGGAATTGGTGGTTCTTTCGCTTTCATACTCGGTGCCTCACGATCAAGAAAACTCGAAAGAAAAGAAGAGAATGGAAAAAAGTACCATTTATCAACTGCCATCGACAGCCGATATATAGATAAAATCCAATATCAAGTAACTAATCTACAGGAAAAGAAACCCGGAGAAAGCCGCAAGGGCAGACAAGAAACCCAAGCTACCAGCGCCCAAGTTCGAAGCAGCGTTAAAAGCCGGCGACGCGGAGGGGGAGCTAGAACTAGAAGAAACCGAGCCAGAGGCAGAGGTAGAGCCCGACGGCATGGCAGCAGAGATAAGGCGTCTAGTAAGATCGGGATAGTTAGACACAACGCTAACAGACAAAACAAGATATAAAAGCTTACCCCGAAGTCGTAGGCGAAGTCGTCTTCGAAGTCGTCGAGGCAGTGGAGTTAGTCGAAGAAGTCGAGTTAACAGAACCGGTGAACTTGATACTCTCATAAGAACCAGTCCGGTCAGACCAGGTATAAGACTCGGCCGGGTTGTAGTTGACGATAGTGACGTCCTTGATATACATGGTGAAAGGAACTTTGCTGTAATCTGTCTCGCCACCGGCCCATTCGATCGTACCCTTCGCATTGGATGGGTCGCCGCCGGCCCAGATCCCAAGACGCACGTTCATGGGGGTCTGGGGGTATCTGGATCCGGATTTGGCGTCGTTGAAGGATAGAGTGCGGAGGACTTTTCCGTCAACGGACCAGGTGGTGGCTTCTTTGGTCCAGACGACTTTGTAGGTGTGGAATGTCTCCTGGGGTGCCGAGGTAGGGTGCCAGATTGCGCGGTCGTAGGTCGTGGTATCTCCCTTTCCGAAGTAGTTTGATTCGATTTCGGTCGTGTCGCTGCCAACGGCTTCCTGATTTAGGCATTGAGGTTAGATGTAAGAAATGGAGTGGTGGATGAGTATGATAAGTTACCCAGTCGATCTCGTCGAGATCATCCGACTCCAGCACGATGCTGCTGACGATGCCAGTGCCTGGGGCTGCTTTCATGGTGACGGAGACTTCACCGAAGAAGATGTAGAAGTCTGTCTGGATGGTGGGTGCCTCACCCTGCTTGTTGACTGTGAACTCGGCGCCGTTTGGGCCCGTCTTGACGTTGCCGGCAGTAGTAGTCCACTTATCTAGACCCGAGCTCTGGGTGAAGTCGAAAGTGTGTCTGGACTCGGTTGTGCCAGGATTGGCCGGGCAAGTTTCTATAAAATATCAGAGGGATGTTTTGTTTTAGATTGTTGAGTACAACTTATGAGATATACTTTTCATTGGATTGCAGTCAGTGTACGTTTGACCTGAGACCAGAGTCGCAGCGGCCAAGCCTGCAGCGGCATACTTCAAGTAGCACAGCATTTGAGATATCAGATTGGTATAAGGATGGTAATATGTATGATACGATATGAGAATGAATAGAAGAAATAGTCAGCGAGGTTAACAACTAAGAGTAGTGACAGGCGGTTCTCGGAAAAGACAGTATGATAGACCTAAAGAGAGGGGAACAGGAATAGGAATTGGAAGTATTTTAGTATTATAGCTATATATTATTGCGCGAATATCGTACTATTCCATTTGAAAAGTTCTGCCTAATATGTGTATAGACTCCGAGAGTTTGAGACATGTTGTTTAGTGGCTGTTTCTTTTAGGGCTAGTAGTTCGGGGGAGATCCGAAACATCTGAGCGCAAAGAGCCCCGAACCTATTAGATAGTAACTAGAGTCATAGGCAATTTCCACATATCTTTACTCCGAATGAGACCCTATATTGTAATAAAGATGTCTTAAAACAAAGCCCCCTAATAGGGAATATAGCGCTGTAGAGGTGATATAAACTATGTGTTTTCCTAATAAGGTAAGTCAACGTGTATGCGGTTATTTATAGTCGGCAAAAATAACCGATGGAACTTAGCTGTGTATTTTCCTTCCAACTTCAATGAGTTGGAACGCCGAATAGATTAATTACATCATTTTCACTTGTTGGCCGACGTTTAGAGTCTAATGGGCTCGGTATTGGATGTTGCATGTTGTATGTTCACTGTGGGTGTAGCCACTTCATCTAGCCTAGAGGCTATGCCCAGAACGGAATCTGCAATTTCACTTTCTATATTAATGCGTATTCGAATTAGCAAACATGAAACCGAGAATTGTATTCAAATATCTAAATATGGATACATTAACTATACATTATACATATTCAAGAACTTATGCTCGAGATAGTTGAAACTGTAAACGAATCAGATGCTAGGATCATTTCCGAAACCAGGAAGATGATCGCTAAAGGGTATAAACATCTCATTCTCCGGAAAAAAGGGTATCTCAGAGAAATTCTCCATCCCAGTCAGTAAAGACGGGGAAAAAGGAGAAACGGCGTCGGCCGTCGAATGTAGAAATAGGTTGTCTGGCATCCAAGGTTGCAATGTAGTTGACTGAGACTGTAACTGATGATCTTGACTTGAACCCGTTGCATTTGACTCATCGTCGAAAACTGCTCCGGCGAGAGATAAAAAGTGCTGGAAGATCGTTCGTACTTGAAGAATTGGACGGCTGGCTGTTTCAATGCGGGTCAAGCAATTGGTAATCGTAGTCATGAGTTTGAAGTCATCGGTATCTGATGTTGCGATGACATTGGAGAATAGCACGAAGTAGGCAGTGATGGGGTAGACGAGAAGTGTCCTAGATACCTCATCAGAGCTCATTCTAATCCTCATGTGCAGAATATAGCTTACCAGTGCAACAGAGCCACCGTGTTTTGCCTTTCAGCAGATATACATATCGAGACCAATGAAGATATACCCTGGTGGGCCTCTAACAAACTCTGTTTGCGTATATCAATAGACTGGTCTCCTGCACCCTCAGTGTTATGGAAGATGGTGGTCATAACCGAGTGATAGGCGAATTGGAGCGCGGATATTTCAGATTGAGCATCCAACCCCCTCCACGCCGGATATGGACCGGAAATCTAAGTAACAAGTCAGTAGTGCAAGTAAAAACAAGTCCAAGTAATTGGAACCTCACATGCTCAATCCTCTCTTGAATTCTTTGCATATTAACCAACCAAAGTTTCCCAATTCCATGGGAAGACGATAAACCACTTGTCAATGTTGATGAGCCTCCCCTTAGGTACGGCACAAGAGCAGCTTGCACTCTAGCAAGACTCATGTAAATTTGAAAAAGGTCAGAGGTGGGGTGCTGGTGACTAGATAGGTTGGAAATGAAGTGTCCAAGATCAATATCAAGTAGAGGCTTAGATCTTCCCATCTTGAAAGCAAAATTCTTATCCAGAATATAGCACCAAGCGACACAGTAATACTGTTCTTCACTCACAGTGCCTCCTGTCTTCATGATAGTGTCAAGACCCAGACTCATACATACCCTACAGGCCGCTTTGGTAAGTTCCCAACATACAGTGATATCGCCGGACCCTTGATGGAGGAATATCTGGTTTTCGTTAGATCCGATACATTGCTTTTCAGGATTATCAATACTCACACCGGAAAGAAGCGCCTGTAAGAGTCCCAGCGAAGGACTCGTTAGGAGAGAGATGTTTCGTAGAGCTACTTTTGCTGCTGCCTGGAATTGCACTACGCTATGTGTCATTTCGTGGATAAGTTCACTGTCAATACCAGTAGTGGTGATGGCAGTCAGGAACTTGGAGGCCATGCAATTGACACAAATAGTGCTGATAAGCAGGTCGTGAGGTGATCCGGTCCTATGAAGGAGATTTAGTCCCATTTGCTTGAGTGCTGCTTCGGATATGTGTCTGAAGTAATCCCTAACAAAGGAACCGAAGCTTGCCTCCTTGATGTCTATTGAAAGATATCAGTATCAGCCAGTCTGATTGAACACCAAGTAATAAAGTAGGTACCTTTTAACATCCAGGTTAATAATTCAAACGAAGGTGTTCTTATTTGCTCTTCGTTGACAGTGATGTCACTAACAACTTGCACGGGATCTTCAAAGCTCTCCGAGAGTTGAGAAGCCAGGCCCAATCCTGATTCCAAAATCTGGCGGCGATTGATGGCGAGCCATTTCAGATTGTCTAGTTGATACTGAATGGTGACATGAGCATCATGAAGTGAGAGAGGTTTAGTGGGACCCGGAGATTCGCCATGAGACTGTTGATAGTCAATCCTGGGATATGAGTTGGGCGTAGTTGGAGAATAATCGTGCAGTCCCGGTGGTGAAAGTGAAATTTGCGGATCTTGAGGGATTGGAGTTGCTGGTGATTTTGGACGCGTTCGGGTTCTGTTTTTCACCACCGCTAGCTGACTGCTGTTTTTGGTTCGCTTCATGACTCGCTGCCGAGAGCAGGTGGTATTATTATCCTGGCAATTACCACATGGATTGCCTCTGTCGCAACGGACCTGTATTTGGCTTAGTAAAACTGACTATTTTACTATTTCATAGGAAGTTTGATTCACACCTTTCGAGAGAAGCACGAGTCACACTAGGGTAGGGTTGGAAGCAATTAGCATAATTCGCATAGTAACAATCATAAGAGTCCCATACCACTGGAAGAGGACTCGAATGACCTTTCAGTGCTGTCCTTGATGACATTCTGGTAGAAAGCGAGAGTGATAGGATATTGAAGAAGTATAAGATATGAAAAAGAATGTGATTGTCAAAGAGACAACACGAAACGACAGTAATAGTAGCCTGAGATAGTTATCGAAGCGTACGAAAAAGAAAGAATGTGGTTGCCATTCTGTTTCTTCCAGTCGAGGGAACAATATATATTGAAGTATACGCCTATAAATTCATCCCTAGATGTCTATAGATTGCTATGTTCCGCTTAACTTAGTATAGAACCTGTCGAATCTTGATATTCTAGAAGTTGATGGTCCCACTGGTTTATTTCTGTATAGGGCTTAATAGGGGGCTCTGCTGCTGAAGACACGTTCTGGTTGGACAAGCACGATCTGATCAATTGTTTATGTTCCAGGTTTAAAGTATCTTAATGCTATTTTTATATATTTTACTACGTATATAACTGTGCTAAGCCCCTGACGAGGTTCGCTTGTCAAATGGTTGGTGCCTTGGCACCGGGTATATGTACAGCCCTACGTTCCGCATCGGATGTGGCCTATTATTAGATATCCTACAACAGTTATGCCTGGCTATTCTACGGAGTATAACATAGAAACTGTAAGGTAATGTATGTCGTATAAAATGTATAAAGTACTTGGTATATTGTGCTTGATATGGTTTGTCATGGCCTGTTTACCTGTTACGTGAGTGTAGTTACATCCATGGATATATCATAAGATCTCAATTCTAATACAATAAGAGAATAACAAAATAACAAAATAACAAATAACAAATAACAAAATGAATTCGCTTGTCTACTTAATGAGGTATTGTTCTCATAGATAAAGATGAAGAACAACAATTCACATGTTCAACTGGTTTATGATCGACATCAACTTTCTGCAGACCCATAAATCCCATTTGACCGTCTATAATTAATCGGGTGTATGAACATCTACACCGAACAAAGCAATCAACCAGAAGATCTCGGTTGTAGATATTCCCCAAGAAATAGGTATAAGTAGGTCCTCCCATGCCCTCAAATTGATATCTCACAAACAACTCTCCAATCCTCAACAATCCACCTTCCACCTTCAACCTCCAAATCCACCATCATCATGCGTTTCACCATCTTCACTGCTCTCGCCTTGGTTGGCCTTTCCATGGCTGGCTCGGTATGAACCCATTTCCATACCTATCATCTATCATCTTCCATTCAACCCAGCTAATTCAATAATAGATCCCCTCTGGAGGAAAGTGCAAGCAGGACGGAAGCCTGGGTAACTGTGAATCCAAGCTCTGTGTGGTATGATGATCCTGAATACAAAACGGACAAAACCAAGAGGAATATGCTAATTATGTTCTATACAACAGCAATTGGCCAGTCAGCCCTTCGGAAAGTGCAAATAAGCACGCGGATAAAAGTACCTTTTTGTGTACAGAGTCAACTGGATTGATTGCAGATGCGGTGCCACTTTCTTTCATATCATACCGCTAGGATATAGAAACACTGTTTGTTTCCACAATCAACCCACGTAGAGCATATATTAGTTAGTAGGTTGTAGCTATGTTATTTACTATGTCAACTTGATTGCTCCCAGGTCGTAGGGTCTTTATTACCGGTTTCTAGGCCTTGATATAGTGCTGGATAGCAAAAGGCTAGTAGCCAATGTAGACAGGTTTAATTAGTCGTGAAAGAAGAAATTCGATTTGGAAGGTTGGGTCTGCTCGGACGTTATAATGATAGGCTGAAATAAGGCCGACTATCCAAAACACGTCGGTGAAAATCGGTGAAAATGAATAAAAGGAAGGCAACCTCATGTGAAGTCTAGTATAAAACACTGATTTATTTCACTTTAAAAAGAACCTTCATCCTAATCGCGACAGTCGCTGACAGACACAACATTGAAAAAAAAAAAAAAGAAAAAGAAAAAAAACTTTTGGGGCGGAAAAGGGGTATTCACAAATGCAACAATTGTCTTGCATCAAGAAAAAACACAAGATGATGTACATGAAGTCGTTTCTAGGGGTCGTTGGTCATCGAGAGGGGAAAGGAGGGGAAGGGGTGGTGTAATATAAGGAGAGAATGAAGGGAAGGGAAGTGAGAGGAGAGGATCTGTTGTAGATATTGGAGATACGAGCAGTAAAAGGAGAAGAGGATAGGCCACAGAGGCCATCTCGCCCAATATTGTCATCGTCAATTCTTTCAAGAGAGACGGGTCAGCGGGCCCAGCGGGAGAAATCCAGATTCTGGAGGATGTTCGTGTCTGTCGCTGCATTCCATTCCGCAGCGAAATCCGTCTGTACTTGAGGTGCACGAGATGGTAGTTCCTCCGAGAAGATATTGGCTTTGGTATTCCGTCGCAGACCTGGATAAGCCCCCTCAGCGGATTCAGAGCCTTGGCTTTGGGCCGTGAGAGCCCGCTCGCGGACTTTCTTGATTTCTCGCAGACGGGTGGACCAGGACGAGGAGTGCTCGCCACCCTTGTTGCTCCAGACAAGTGAGAAGACAGACGCATTGAGAGCAAGAATGCGAACAAAGGCTGCCAAATTCTTGCCTGAGATGACCTTTGGTGCCGCAGCAGGTGAGACGTCTGGGAATCCGGGCTTGCTCAGGACCTGCACACTGTAGTAGAGCTTTTGCGGGTCTGTCTCGCCATTGGCATTGCCACTTTCATCGTAGGCAATCCGAGAGGACGGGGTGATGACAATGTTGATAGAGTTGAATTCGGACGGAATTGTGTCAAAGTTGAAGGGCAAGTTGGATCGGTTGAACACGATCGTAACATGGTTATTGCCAAGGTTTCGTTTCTTGTTCACGCAGGCCGGATCACGGTCAAAGTCCGTAGGCATCATCGTTGCAACGTGGTAGACAATTTCAGTCACACGATCCCGCCAAGCATAGGTGTATTCTCCATCAGTATCGGCATACAATCCTTGCGGATTGAATTGGGGATTCCGAAGCGACACCTTGGTTCCCAAACCCGACAGCAGGTTTTCATAATCTGCAGAGCCGCCAGTATTAGCTAAAATATCGGCTTCCTTTGTCTGACCATTGTCAATATAAACAATGCCGATCCTATGACCATCCACAATGTCGGTGCGATCAAAATTACTAATCGCACGTCGAGTGATATCGTCTTCCGGAACCGGGATAGGCTGCATGACTGTAGGTGTAGGGAATGCAGTGGCAGTCAATTGAAGCATGATATGACTCGGAAGGATTGCCGTGCGCATGGAGTCGGAATGTAAATGGGCATCTGGAGTTGGAGGAACTTGATGCGGCAGAACTGGGGCCGTCCGCTGTTGATAGACAGAGTATGTGGTACCCGATGCCTGGCGCTTCGTAATCTGAGACAATCCAGATACCCCGGCGCTCTCGACTGTGACAATACTCATGCCGACAATCCAGGACTTCTTTGCAACTGGGCCATCCTCAGGGGAAGGAGGGAAGGTCTCGAAGGGAATGGTCTCTCCGAGATCCGAATAAGCAACCCGCTGCATCAGATCGATAAATACTTGGCTTTGTTCTTCTACCACCTCTTTTCCATGTTCGTCGTGATAGATGAGCCTGCTGGTGATCCAATTCACATGTTTGGGCCGATCCTGGAGCTTCAGAGACAAGAACCAGAAGACCATGACATGGTAGGTGAGATTCGAGATATACTTTGACATTCCATCTTGAGAGGTATCGAGACCTTCAGCTGCAGGGGTGGCAATTTCCTTTGCCCCACCACTGAGCCTAGACTGAGGAGATTGGTTTGATAGAGAGGCCCTTGCAGCCAGTTCAGCGGCTTTGTACCGATGCTCTCGAGATGTCTGCAAAAATCGAATGCAGATGCCGAACACGGTGCGGATCTCCTCCTCACGTAGGTTGACGTAAACATCAGGCAATCTTGCAAGCAGAGCCAAGAACTCTAAGATATGGACGGCAATGTTTGACATGGTGATCACCTTTGACATCCTATCAAGAATGCTGTTCAATGATTTCGTGACTGACATTGGTATTTCATGGCAACAGAGTGACAGTGCTTGAATGCACCCACGGGACGTGCCGCCCCATGATCCGATGATACCCTGCATGAAAGCTCGGACGAGATCATCCTTTTCACTCTTAGCAAAGTGTTCGTGGTAGCTGACAAGCATACAAAGCGCATCGAAGATACAGGCAGCCACATCGCTCTTCTTCAATCCAGTGGTTTCAGGGGGCTCGTGGAAAGTTCCATTCTTGACCTGATCACACAGAATGCTGCGAAGGAGCGTGATCTGAGGGATGGCGTCCCGGAAAAAGTCTTTGTTGCCAAGCTGAGGTCCGATATGAGTAAGAATGTAGCTGTAAACATCCCAGTCGGCTTCTCGTTGCAATAAGGTGATCACAACTTCGACCCACATCTTGACCTTCAACAGCCCCGTGATTCTGGTTTCTGGTGTTGTTGATTCGGCCGGGGGAGATTCCTCCGGGTGGGCGTAAGCAAAAACAACAGGGCTAGATTCGCCAGGTGGCTGCTCTGGAAGAACTTGTGGCAAAGCATATGTCCACACTGGGGCCGTCAGTTTTGACCCACGGGCAGAGATAGAGCCACGCCCCGGGGCCGACTTCGACATAGGGGTTGACGCAGACTCCCTCATTGGAATCTTTCCAGTTGGTGAGACGGGTGAGGTATCATGCTGAGGAATCTCGCGGGTTGGGCTATCGCTGGGGGCCTGTAGTTTAGAGCCAGCATCGAGGTTACGACCCAGCACGTTCATCAAGAAGTCACTCTCCGATGTTGATATGACTGTGACTGACCCTGCCGAGTCACATCGTAGTCGGAAAAGTAGCTTTAAGACCGTCAAACGAGAGTCTATTGGTCGACTTGGAGATTGAGCAATGTCTAGAAGCGCCTCGAAAACCATCACAGCTTTGGTCGAGGAGAGATTCAAGGCACGCAGCATCATCTTCACGAGGCCCACAGCACAGACGTTTGTCAAGCTTAACTCCAAGACACTGGTGGTAGACGTACGGCGTTGAGATCCATGGCTTGGAGGAT